TAATAACATCTAGTTTTCCTAATCGCCGAGTATAAGGCTTAGTAGCGTATCGCTTCTTAAGTTAATAACGAAAGGGACTATTATCCGGACCGAGCTAAAGTTAACGGTTCCTATAAAAGTACTTCCGTCGAATTCGAGTTTTATACGGAACTAAAAGATAAAGTTTATACTAAGTAATAAGGGATAACTAACGAACCTATCTTTAACGACGTAAATCGGTAAGCGAAAGTAATAATCGGTAAGTTAAATAGAACCATTAATTATTCCTATATATAAGGTTTTTATAAAGGATCTAAAACCTCGCTATATCGCCTTGGTACCGGTTATAAGGAAACGCTACTTCTTTACGTAGCTTTCTACGATTATATTAAACTACGCTCCTATATCGATTACCGTAGATACGAGAGCTTCGTTCCCGTTAGGTCCTACGTTAACTACTAACTTAGGGAATAATCGGATATAGTTTTTAATATCCTTCGCGATAATAAAATTTACCGCTATTTTATTTAAAGGGTTAATAAACGGGGCGGTAGTTTACGGTACGCTAGGTATTTTAACGCTTTCTTCCCGATTCTTTTATACCTATTCCTTTATAATCTTAATAACCTTAAGCTAACCTTCGTTAATCTTTATAGCGCGTATCGTAAGGTACTTAACTACCTATTCCGAAAACCCGGGTATAAACTTAATTAGATCGTCCTACGAAACTTCGAAGCGTTTCCTACTATTTTTATTAATTTTATTTAACTAAAATTCTCTTAATAATTCGTTAATAGTCTTCGTTTTCCTAGCTAAGTCGTTCGTATTCGAAGTAATATTCTTACCGGCTTTAGTCGGTTTACGCCTAGGTTATAATAATAGGACTTCTATATCCTCTTAATCGGATACTTTTCTTTCGATATATTCGCCGTTAGAACCTCTAACTCGCTTAACTACGTTAACTTCGACTAAATCCGTTTTAATGATACCCTTATAATAATAGATACCTTCGTCGTCGATAAGACCTTTAGTTTAACTATAACTTAAGATCCTAGTTTCGTATAATTCGTAGCTATATTTACGTTCGACTATTTAAATAACGTTAATCTCCGATATAGCTCTTAGTATCTCTTCCTACTTTAATATTACTTCCTCGCTTTTAAAGTATCGTAAGTCGAGGAATATAAGCTTTAGCTTTCCGATTAAATAGTAATATACTATCTTACGTACCTACTCTAGAAATTCCTTACTTTAATATACGTAAAATAAAATATAATAAGCGATCGGTTCTTCTTTACGCTTAACTTAGGTAATAATCGATCCTAGGATTAGTATTAACTCCGGCTTATCCGGGTTTCCGTTCTCGAAGTAATATAATCGCTTATTACTCCTATAATAAAACCGATTCTAGGTTATATCCATTAGTAGCGAATAACGACTATAATTATAAAACCGATCGAAAATATTATAAAACTAATATTCGAATTCCTTATAGTTACTCGTTTAGGTTAATAAAATCCTACTACGTATGCCTCGGTAGTTTAGTATAATATTACGTCTAGAGCTTATTAAGGTCCTTTCGTTAGTTTATAGGTTATAAAAACTTAGGTTCCGAACCGCGTTTACTAGGAACGGGTTTTCCTATTAATATTATTAATCGGCGCCGTACGTATTCCTAAGGCCATAAGAGCTACTATCCTAACGGTAGTTCTACGAAGTTATCTTTATTTCCAAGGCGTTAAGTCGGTCGTAAAAGGCTTATATACTAACTTCCTAACTAATACTTAGGTAACCGTAAGAGGGTTTAGGCTACGAAGGAAGCGGTAGTAAAGGCATTTAGAGGCTAAGAGTCGTTAATCGTTAAACTATTTATATTATAGGCTTCTCGGGTTCTTCGAAAGTTACCGTTTTCTACTATCGTCGTTCTTCGGCTTAGGCCTTATCGGTAATTTATATTATTATACGACGTTCCGCTTACTTATAAAGCTAGGTATAAAGAATCCGGTAGTCGATATTTCCGATCTTATTATGGTTATAGTCTTCCGTTTTATAGAACTTTATAATTAAAGATATCCGGAGTTTATCGGTTAGGTATCCTACTTTCTAAGGAAGCTCTTCGTTATCGTTTACGAGCTTAAAAAGGCGTTTATAGTTTATAAAATACGTAAAAATCGCCTTAAGATCATTAATTACGTTACCTCGTTCTAGCTATACGAGTTTACGTTTAACGTTAACTTAGCCTAGTTTATCGGTAATCTTAAAACGGTACTTTAGGACTATAACGATAACTCTCTAGATCGTTTAATCCTTCGTAACGTCGTTAATACGCTCCCTAATAGTTTTAATCGTAATTTATTCGCCGATCTCTTTAATTTTATCGTCGTCGCTTATACGATAGCGGTTAAATAATCGATTTACCCTTTCTAATTACTAGATTATATTATATTTATTAAACTTAAGCCTAGGGTAATCGATAAGGTTAGGGAACCTAATGGCTAGTATTACGATAATCGGGATAGCTACCGGCATATTCTAGCTACTAAAGGCTCCGTTATTATTATTCTAAGATAATACTATAGGAATTAGCGGGATAAGTATAGAGCCGCGGTTAAGGGATAGCTAAGTAGGAGTTTTATCGTCGTTCTCCTCCTTTTCGGGCGGATATAAGAGCGGAAAGCTAGTATCGACTCTTAAGGTCTTTATTAGTAGTTTAATCTTTACTACTTCGGGTCCTAACGGCGATTTACTCCGTTTCCTAGCTACGGATTCCGTTTAATTTATCGATACGAAGTATAAAGTAAAAAGAGGGATAGTAAGGATCTTATTATCTAATATAAGGGTAAAGGTATAATAGCTATTATTTATATCCTAATACTTTTTCTTTAGTATAGGTATATTACTATTTATTATATTATCCCGATCGATAAGGTTCGGATATTATACGAGCTTTTTTAATCGGCTAACGCCTAACTAAAGTACGATACGTATTCCCTAGACTAATAATTTAACTATTATAAATAAATCGACGATAATCCCTCTTATTAAGGTTTAAAACTCCTAACGTATAACCTTCGTTAAGGTAATACGTATAAGGGATAGATCCTAAGTAAAGGATCGCGCTAAATACGATACCGGTTATAGCTATAAACCGGTTTCGATTTAACGGAGGCTATTTAATAATATTAACGATATTACCGCTAGGCGTCGTTTTACGCTTATATTAGTACTTTTCGCCATATTAATTATTAGTTAGTAATATAGGGCTAGCCTATATATAAGTATACCTATTAACTCGACTCTAGTTCCGTTTCCTTAATCCTTTATATCTACGTAGTCCTATTAATATTAATTCCTAATTCTCTTTAAAACTATCGGTTACTAGTAGCTATTAATCTATTAATCCTATCTATATTATTAATATAAATATCCATATTATATCGTATATTATATCGTCGAATCGCTACGCCTAAGTATCCTAAAATACCTCTAGCATAATAAGTTATTAGTATTTATATATTTAATTAATATCGATTAATAGGTTTAGAGGGAAAAAGAAACTATCGTAAGGTCGGTTAGGATATAATTACTATTAGCCTTTATCCGCCTTTAGTATTAATAAAGGAGTAGCGGGTTATATGGGTTATCGTAATTTATACTAACGTATTCGTACGTTTAGTTTACATAATAAATAAATAATTATAAGGGGGCTGCCCTAATCGCTATAAGCTTTATTTACTCGTACGAAATATACTATATTATTAGCGGTTCGAGGAAGCGGTTAGTATCGAGGGCTAAGTACTATCCCTAGTAGCGGTAATATTACGACGATAATTTCCTAGGCTTACGGGTTCCTCCGTATAGTAAATAAATAACCATACGAAGGATATCTTAATCGGTATAAACGTAGTTTAGTCGTCGTATTATATCGTAATATCGATAGCTTACTAGCGTTATAGGTATTAAGGACTAAGCGCTATCCTAGTAGCTATAGTATCGTTATAAAAGTTCCCGGGCTTATACGTACCTCCTTATAGTAAATAAATAATTATAAAGCGGGATATTTTATTTAACGTAAAACGCGGACTACTTCGCGGGTTAAATGGCGGTACCGACGGCGATCGGTATCCTTTAAATCCTAGTAGCGTAATAAAAACTCCGTAAACTAAAGGTTAAAGGATCGAAAAAGTTATAGGGTAATCGTTATTAAGGAGGAGTAAAGCGTACGCGATGCTAAAGACCCGGATATATTCACTCGAAAGTATACTCTATCGAAGATTATAATACGTACGATAGTTTAAGATAAATAAAACTAATATCGCTATACTAATCGAAAGGTAAGGAATCTAATGTAATTATCGTATCTTAACTATGCCCCTTAGTCGTAGAGATATAATAGTCGCTAGCCCGAAGGTATAAGAGGTAAGAAAAGAAAAGGGGCAAAACGTAAAAGTTACTTATTCGGCTATAATAATACGACGAAGTAACTTAAGCGCTTATAACTAAAATAAATATATTAATCGGAGAACGACGAATCTAATAATAAAAACGAATCTTTAATTAAGGTAAAAATAATAAAGATAATAATCTAACTAGGTAATAAACTAAATAATAAGCATAGCATATCCCGTACTTACGGGAGCTATAGTTACTCTATATAAGTATAAGGCCTATCGTAACGTATTACGTAATGTATCAAGAGGGCATGTCTTACCGCACCACTACATTAATTAGCATAATAGGGGATTATGCCTATTATAACTATCCTCCGGATAGAATAACTATCTTCCAAATAGGATAATCTCTACATAACCTATAATAAGTTTTCTACTTCTCTTTTAAATAAATTAAATTGCTTACGGCCTCCTAAAGAGGTGCTTAAGCATGCTAGCTAATTAAGGAAGCTTCCTAGTTTACTTTGGATAACATCATATTTTGTAGAACGATCTAAGCTAGTCTATGTACCTTGGTACTGATACGCTCAATCTTGCTCCGGTAACGTAGGTTATTAACCCTTATAGGTAGCCGTCTGCATCCCCGGGAGGCAATATTAAGGAGGAGTGAAATGGTAAAGTTCTCTACAGACCCAAACTTTTCGTGTCGTTCCGCGAGCACCTATCCCTTGAAATTCGTAAAGATGTTTCTGTTGCTCATCTTACCCGAATTACCGAAAACGTCATCACCACCCTCAACCTTATAATCGCCATCGCTATCGTCGTCACTCTCTTCACGGTCCCCGCCTGAAAGCGCTGCGAACGGATTCCCACCGACCTGACCACCTTTCCCTCCACCTCGGGGATTCTTGTCGTCCTCAGCTAAGCTGGGGAGGATGCTTGAGGGGTTTTGAGACGAGTACTCCATAGTTTGGCCGATACGGCGTGCTAGTCTCCTCAGCGTCGACGTTCGAATCCACTCTCCCGGTGTTACCCAGGCCGGAGTGTCCATGTAAGACTGAATTGCCTCCCACCATTTTGGCGCATTACCTCGTTGGCGGCGCAACACGTTGGCCACAAAAGAGAAATATAAGTACCGGGCTTTGGGTCGGAACTCATTCCTGAAACTCAGCCGTAACCCGTCCAGCCTCTTCCCCCATGGGAGGTTGCCGGGTTGGTATACCACAGAGTCGTTCAAGAGGCTCGGGTCAAGGATGACGATTTTCCAGTCTCTCTGGTAGCCGCCGCCACGTGAATTTCCCGGGGCAATGGCAATTCTAGCCTCATCGAGCAGCCGCTCGTAGGGCTGGCATATGGGCAACCCATTCTCTGGGCTCATGAGATGCCCCGTTCTCTGATTCGGCGCCGCTCCGAAAAGGTATTTGGCGTGTAGTTCCCCGACGTTGTGGGCAACGATGTGGGCAGCTCTCAGAGATGACTTGCCAACTTTACATCCCCCGATGACGCACCAACAGTTGTTCTGGTCCAAACTGGAACCGTAGCTACTAATGACGCTCTTCCTGAAGCTTTCTTGGGCATTCGGAGTACGATGAAACTTCACCGACGTTTGAGACCCAGCCGGTTCTTCATAGAGTCTAAGCAGGAAGTCTATGAAACTCCAGTCGTTGACGAATTCTTCGGCCTCAAAGCTCTCGTTGTCTATAATGTAGCCGACGACCTTGGAGCTCTGCTCGTTGATGGCAGAGAGGGTCGCCTTCAGGTTCTGAATTGAGGATACCAGTTCTCCAATCTGGGTTTCGTAGGTGCTCGCGTTCATGGACGACTCTTCGCTGTGATACGCTCTCTTAACACATTTCATTGTCTCCGTCTGAATTTCCAATTCCAGTTCCTTGGCTCTCTTGAACGAGGCTAACTTTTCCTTATACAATAGGAGCTTAGACTGCTCCTGGTTGCTTATCCCAGGGCTCCCCCCAAGCCCTCTGTCCCCAGCCTCTTCATAGCCTCTCGCAGACATTTCGCTGAAATAACGTCGGGCGTTTCGGATTTCCCGACTTTTCTTGTCGATATCATTCAGATCGCTGCGACTGAGATGAGTACGGACGAGAGGTGAAAGTACCGAAGGCGAACTATTTGGGCTATTGTCGCTCATGGCGGGAGATTCCGCATATGGAAGCGAGATGCGTCTATTGCGAGGAGGCGAGGCGCCGGGGGTGGACATCTTCGGGGCCTTCTTAGGCATGGTCGAGAAATTTCGGAGGTTCTGTGTTGCCGGAGACAGATCTAATTCGGGTTAGAAATTCAAGGGCACTCCCTACGTTCCTCTAGGAGGCATACCGTAAACGATAGATACCTGGTGAGTAGTAGATACCAGTTGCACTTGCGGTCAAGTCCAGACTCTGAATGTCATATAGAGAGGAATACCTAACAGCAGAACAGAGGACGCAAGAACGTACAGCAGAATATATACAATATACTAATCTTCCTGGAGTTGTGTATGAGTGAATGAATTTCAGTTGCCACTACAAGAGATAATTGTCTGCCTCTGGGCTCCTCAATGTTTCCCTGTCACTGGGATTGTACATTGTGGATGATAACTTGCCATCGTTATAGTGATTATTTTCTGAGTACATTATTTACCTATTATTCACACTCCCCTTAACTGTAGGTCTCCGGATTTTGTGTCACTGTTATTGTGAATAGCGCCATTGAAGCCTACGGGCGTAGCTCACTATACGGCGAGTTAAAATCCCAATAATCAACTCATCTGGTAATTCTGTGAGGCAGGGAGTTAACCGTTTTCCCGACGGTTAATACATCTAGATGGGAGAATACATATATATATTAAATATCATGTTATGGCCAACGCTGCTTCTAAAGAGCTATTAATATTGCCTCCCTCACCTCCCTACAGCATATGGTACGAAGTCAAGTCTGCTATACAAATATTATACTGGATAGCAAATAGGAGAACTATTCTGTATTGATATATCTATGTTCGCCCCCTGCCTACCTCCGCTTATTTAAATAATTGAAGTTTCTCAAGTAGAGGCTTGAAGCATTTGAATATTTGCTTTTCTAATGGAAAATTCACTGCTTGCCGCTTGAAGTGATGTATTCACCCCGACTAGACATGTCACAACCGTAACAAATAGCAGATACATTTTGTGACACTTACCGAATTAGCCCTTGAGAGTGTCCCGTTTCTTGAGGTTGATGCCATAACACCTGTCATAAAGTCACATAATATTCATTTCTTTAGATGCTTGGATGTCAAGACGCTAGATACACATTATACCTATATAAACCAGGGTTACCTCGGCAGTCGATCAACCCCTAGTGCGCGGCAACGCCAGTGCTAGGCGCGGCCACCTGCCCGTTGGCGCCCTCCTTGGCCAGCACCTCGGCATCGTGACTGAAGAGCCACTTCCGGCGCTCGTCGAAGCCCCAGAATACCGGGTTCTCGGCCCCATTAATCTGTAACTTCTGGTCTCGCACACGTTGCTCTTCGCCGTCGTCAATGTGCAGGATGTACTGGTGCTCCCGCGTCTTGGCCTGGACGAGGGTTGCCCGAGGCTTGCGGATCGCCTCGTAACGTTCCAGAGCATCCTTGAGCTCGACATCCAGGGCTAGGGTTTGTCGCAGAACCGCGGCGTCCTCGAATGCCTGCGCGGCACCCTGAGCGAGATAGGGCAACATGGGATGGCAGCTGTCGCCGAGGAGCACTGCCTTGCCGGAGGGGTGCACCCAACGTGCCAAGTCCGGCAGGTCGCACAGCCGCCACTTCATAAAGTCGCCCGTAAGCGCGCACAGCTTTCGGACGCGGGGTTCCCACTGGGCGAATCGCCTGCGGAGCTCGCCGTTGTCGCCCTTGATCACCCACACTTCGTCAGTCGTCTCGTTGTACGACGTCGCGCATACTACCATGTTGTAGAGCTTGCCGTTGCGGATCGGGTAGCCGACGAGATGCGCGTCAGGCCCGCACCATGAGGTTGTGCAGGGGTCCATGATGAGGTCGGCCAGCTCCGGGTCCGCGAGAAGCTTCTCTCCCGGGATCAGAATCCTGTACGCCACGTCTCCCGTGTCACGCGGGATATCGGGCTTGCCCGTAAGCAGCGGCCGTGCGATTGACTTGATGCCGTCGGCGCCGATGACAAGGTCCGCCTTGAAAACTTCGCCCTCCTGGGTCATGGCGCTTGGGGCATCAAAGTTGTACGAAATCACCCGTTTTTTGGTTAGAACCTCGACGCCCACATTCCGCGCCGCTGTCAAGAGTGCCTCGTGGAGGTCTGCACGGTGAACCAGATAGTAGGGAGCGCCGTGTGTCTCGACAATGTTATCAAACGGCAGCTTGACCATCGTGGACCCGTCCTGCCATCGGACAAAGTGGTACCGCCTCGAGACCGACTTCTTCATCTCCTCCAGATCGACACCCCAGCGGAGTAAGAGGCGACTGGAGTTTGGCGGCACTCTGATGCCAGCACCGGCCTAGTCCAGGAGTGAGAAAAAAAAAAAGGGGGGGGGGGGGGGGGGTTGGAATGAGCCGGGAAACCAACCTCGGCGAATTCTGGAGCAGCATCGACGATACGCACTTTGTGGCCATCGGTCTGTAAGGCCAAGCCGGCGGCGAGGCCGCCGAGCCCGGCACCAACAATGAGAACGCTGAGGGATCTTTTAGATATAGGCATGTTGACCTAGGTGTAACGGTAGGTTCGAGAGACTTGATTTCCCGCTACAGTTCTGTTTCTTCGGGTGCTATCTTCAAAACTTTATATAGACGGTGGCGACATGGAGCAATTTGATTGCCGCCTCGCTCGTCTCCTGAAATCCGCAACATATCCTATGAGATTGCCGACAGCACCGCGCTTTTGTTCCGTGAACCCGACAAATCATGGACCAGTTGGGCGGATTTCCGTACGATAGAGCGGTGTCATGATTCCGCTCACCATCCTCCCGAGTCCATGGGAACTTCGTCTCGGCACGTGCTGATCGAACATCCCGGTGTTGGTGGTGGGGAGCGACGACCGTCGGATACATGATCCCTCGCTCGCAATCTGGATTCTTAGGGTCTTGTCATCTGAGGACCCATCCTGCACGCCATCCATCGTCTCCCCCGCAACCCCAGACGGCGCCATCTCGAAACTAATTCCGCTAATGTGGGACGCCCGCTACCACAAAGCTTGACATCTGTACTGGGCAGGGAGGATCGTGTATAAAATCTGGGGCAGAACTTGATTAGCGAGATATCTCGTCTGGCGCCGCACGTATCCCCAACCCACTTGCCACCACCGTCTCCGTCCCGACTGATGGCGGTTCCCTCTCTCACGCCCACGACGCCTACTAGTGTGGACGGCGCCCGACGTCTCTCGCAGGAGCTCTCTGGTCTTGTGAAGCAAGGCGTGGCCCGCCTGGAGGAGGACGAAGATGTCACCGATTCCATCGAGGCCGAGAAGGTGCTCCGTAAGATCGATTGGCGCATCATCCCGCTCCTCCAGTTTCTGTACATGCTGACGTTCCTTGACCGTGTCAACATCGGCAATGCGCGGCTCTGGAATCTGGAAAGCGACCTCCAGATGACAGGCTACGATTACAACATCATCGTGCTCGGTCAGTCGCCAGGTCTGCGTGCCTTCTTTCCCATGCGCTGACCCTGTCAAAGTATTCTACGTGCCATACATCCTCCTCGAGCTACCGTCCAACTACTTTTTCAATCGGGTGGAACCTAGGAAGTTCATCGGAGTGATCATCATGGGCTGGGGATGTACGACTCTCCCCATCCTCCACCCACGCCGCGACTAACCTGCACGCAAGTATCCGTTACTTTCGCCGGCTTCTCCACCAGCTTTGTCGGCCTCCTCGTGGCTCGTATATTTATCGGAATCTTTGAGGCCGGCATGTTTCCGGGTTGCATATATCTGATCTCCGGGTAGGGTCCTCTTCTCCTCGTCGGGAAAGACATCAAATGCTTTTCGTTATGTGCGTGCGAGTATGATGGGCGAGCCATGCCTGAGACCAGCAGTTTTCGTTTGTTGGGAGAGAAGAGGGTTGAGGGCACAGTTCCTTCCTCGACGCTCCATCTAACGAGGTGCAGATGGTATCGCCGGCACGAACTCCTCACGCGTATGGCTTTCTTTTTCGTGGCCAACGATATCGCAGGGACAATATCGGGGCTTCTCGGCGCGGGCTTGGGGTCGCTTGACGGAGTACGCGGTTACTCGGGATGGCGATGGATCTTCTTCATCGAGGGAACCGCGACGTGTCTTGCCGCGACCCTCGCATGGCTCTTCGTACCCCCGTTTCCCGACCGGAGCACGTTCCTGACACCATCCGAGAAGCAGTGGCTGCTGAAACGGCTGAAAGCGGATAACAAGGGCATGTCTCACGAGAAGATGACGGTGAAGAGCGTAGTAGACGCGCTCAAGGACTGGAAGATTCTCACATCCGGCGTGCTCTACTTGGCTGTCTGCACCACCGCGTACTCCATCTCGGTCTTCCAACCCACAATTCTCCGCACCTTCGGCTGGGGCGAGCTGAAGTCAAATCTGCTAAGCGCGCCGCCACGGCTCGCCTCCGGCATCGTTTCGGTGTTGCTGGGCATCTGGTCCGACAAGATCCAGCGCAGAGGGGTATTCTGCCTCGGCGGCTTCTTCCTCAGCATCCTTGGACTTTTGCTCATCGCGTTCTTGAAAGGGAGCCTAAGGTATATCGGGGTATACTTTGCTGCGATAGGCATCTACATCGTTCAGCCTCTGTGCATTGCTTGGTGGTAAGTGGCCCGCCTCGGTATAGCGTGAAGGACCCGTCTCCTAACAACCCACGTCCAGCGCAAACCAGGTGACGAGCTCCAACAAGCGAGGGACCATCACCGCCTTCGCCGGCACCTTGGGCCAGCTTGGGGGAATCATATCGGCGCTGGTGTTCCCGTTGAAGGACGGCCCGCAGTACCTGCCGGGGATCATGACCTGCATCGCCTTCCAAATCGCGGGTATCATCGCCGCCATCAACATGTGGGCTATCTGCGCCTACGAGAACAGGCAGCGCGAGGCAGGTAAGCGCGACTACCTGCGAGAGCTGCCTCGGGAAGAGAGGGATAAATTGGGCGAGAAGCATCCGGACTTCCGCTACACCCTGTGACGGCTCATAACTGCTAGGATGTAGGCACGTTGGTGGGCAGGTAAGGTAGATATGTGACTGTGTTAGGGACGTAGCGCGGTGTGTAGGTTTGTCGTGGCCTGCGAGGCAGACAGGACAGGGACCTGGGCGCCTATCCTATATAGGCCTAGCTATAAGACCCGCAGTTATGCCGGTCATACACAAAAATACCTTCGGCCTCGTAAGCCTTCTTCTGGCGCTAGCGCCCGAACGACCCTGGATGTTTCGACATCGGTTCCGGACAAAAGGCTCTCGGCTATAAGCGTACCTCCTGAACTTGATATACTATGGGGGTACTTGGGTGCACGACCTAGTAGCACTGAATCTCAACGTGGAAAGTTAGTACGGGGTGCGTACCTTTGGCTAGGGAGGCACATGAATAGGTAGAGGTACCTAGGTACCTGGATATCTAGGTACATCCATCCGAGAACACACGGAAAGGCATCGGTGGATACCGGTGGATACAGATGCCAACACCCGAGGGGTGAGGTAAATGTCCCGTCGACCCCCTCCCCCCGGTCGCCACAGCACCTATAAGCGCTAGGAGCAGGTTACTTGCTTTCCTTTCAATCAGTCTACCCAGTTTCCAACCCCTAGACCACCCAGTGCCCGCACCGCGTAGTACGATGCGTAGAGGAAAAGCTTTCCCAGTCTACAATAAATCTCCCATCGTCTGTTACCCAAATTAGGTGTTCCTCACGGCGGGGCCTCCATATTCTACGGGCATATCGACACCCTGCATCAGCGAACCCATCCAGTCAGCCCCGTTCATGACGCCACCCATGTCGCCCGTCCAGCTTCCAAACCCATCCGATCCGACTCCTCCCTCGATGGTCTGCCCGAGCGGCATCATGGCGTGTGACCAATAGAAGGAGTCGAGAGCTTCCGATCCCGGAACTGCGCCCGCCGTCGCTTGAGCCGGTTCCGGCGGTACCTGACCGGCACCCCCGCCGTTCTCGCCTCCCGCCCTCCCGCTTTCTTGGGCATCTACCGGGGCCGGCTTTGACAGCAGGGATCGAGAGCTGATATGCTCGGCAAAGGCGCTCATCAGCTCGGTAAAGCGCTTCATGGTCCCGCACTTCTCCACCTTGGCCACCATGTCTCTAAGCCGCGCCCCCAAGCTGTGCAGCGTTTCCAACACTCTTATTTCTTCTGATGGCGGGTGGCGCTGTAACATGCCGATAGACAACCCCATGGACGCCCAGTAGACGTAGAAGATATCCAAACCGGAGACACCGTTCAGGAGATGGAACGAGTCCAGCATGAGGCTAGTCATAGCCATCTGGGTAGCGTGACGCAGACACGTACTCGCAAGCAGAGCCTGCCGGCTCATCGGCTTGGTCTGCTCTTGCGCCGACGCCTGCGTGTTGACCGTGAATCCCTGCAGGAGAAATGGACGCGTCGCGTGGAGGGCGGTGTAATGATATTGCAACTGTAGCATCAGCGCCGCCCTCAGCGCTGAACGGCCCTGCCAGTGTAGCAGCGACTTGAGGTCGTTGAACGCCATGGCCCCCGACTCCTTGTCATCGAAGAGGCGCTCGCCGGTTTTAATCGGTGGTATGTTCAGCCACGACTGCTTGGCGAGATCCGTCTTCCACTGGTCGAGATCCGCGAGAGTTGCTTCGGGACTCCCGTCTGCCGGCTGCCCCATGGCCTCCGCACGAACCCCTTGGTCCTGGCTCACCCGGCTTCTGCCCAGTATTCGATATAGTCGCAAGTTAAAAGCAACTAAGACGGCATCGCCGCCGCCGCCGCCGTTACCATCTAGTATACCCGCGCGGGGTGGTGTGACCTCGACATCGGGATCGTTAATGCCACTAGGCCGACCGAGGCTGGTAGCTAAAAATTGTTCGAACCCGTAGAGCGTGCAGAAGATGCGCTTTCTCATTTCCCTCTCGATAGGATTGAATGCGGCTCCTGTGTCGTTCCGATGCAACCCCAAGGCAAAGGCGACCCTAGTCGCAGTTCCCACCAGGTTCCACGTCGCATTCCGCTCGTTGTGATTATGTAGAAACAGACCTAACAGGAGCAAGGCCCTGAGATTGTAAAGCGTACATTTACTTATAAGGTGCGGCAGTAGAGATCTGGCAGACGACACACAGTGTCGCCTCAGTGCGTTGTGATCAAGATTACTGCCGCCGATGCTAGGATCACTCATACTTCCGAACACAAGCATCATATAGAGGCACGCCAGTAGTCCGAGGTCGAGATCGCCCCCGTTCTGGCGTAGCCTTCGCGTCTGGAGCTCAAAGTCGCCCTCGAAAGTCCCGCGGTGGAAGAGCACGAAATCATCATGCACGTTCTGGAAGAAGGACTGCAAGAGCTTCTCGAGCACTTCTTGTGCCGGCAGTCTCCTCCAGTGGTCCTCTATGCCGCTGGAAGATTTGCGCGTGAAGTCGCTCTCGGGTGGAGCGACACCGCCCGGCGAACGCTGGTCGCGTGTAGCGATGACAGAGGCGTCGTCTATCTCTCTAGAGTCCGGCGCGCCGCCGTGGGGTTCCTCGCCCTCGAGCGCCTGAGCTCCGTCGTCTTCGGTGAATTTTGACACGGCATTCGGCCGTATATGCGGTTGTGGGCTGCGCCTCTGCTCTCTTGAGATCAGAAGCCTACGCAGCTGCCCGAGGAACTGCAGCCCGCCGGATGGTCCGATATAGTGCTCCTTTCCGGATGGATCGCTTACGAGAGACGGGCTGCCGTGGATGGATTCCGAGCTATCGTGATATGCGGTGGGACTAGATTTCGCTCGCGGTCGCGTGTGAGGAGGGCTAGTAGGGCTAAATACAGACGAGCTGTTCTCCCCGGGAAAATCGGATTGTCGCGGTATCCGCAAAGCCTCTTCTATCTTCACTGGCGCCTCTCCGTTCTGGGTCAAATCGGGCATCTGATATCCTCGGGACTGGCCGAGGCGCACGAGATCCGAAACCGAGTCAGTGGGCACGTCAGGGAACGCGCCCTTCACAAGAGCCTCGAGGCAACGGAAGCTGTACCTGACTTAGCCTGCATTCCCGAGACACAGAGGGGCCAACTCAACCGAGTATTGGCCGTCAAGCATATTTGGGGAAGAAGATATTAATAGCAACAGCACACCACCACCACGGCATCCAGGGAACCAAGCTTACCGATCACTCAGATCTTCGATATTCCCGTAGAAGCGGGTCTTGCGAGGGAGCGTAAATGTGCATGACGCATTCTGAGCCAGACATGCCACACAACGGCTCGTCTCGCCAGGCGCGGGGATGCATCTACAGCGTTTCTGGTTCGATTCTTCGTCAGATGGCCTGTCACCAACTCTGCCAGCCAACGCGTCATTGGCTCTAGTGAGGTCATACATACCTTGCGGCACAGATCGCAACTCTGTACACCACGTTTCCGCTGGTCCTCCGGCACGCGGCGCGCGCGGCGCTTAGCCTCTGCTGCCCTCGCAGAGACACCACTAACAGTCCTCATGTTTTTAGGTTGTCTTCCTTTCGGATGGAGAATCCCCAGGAAACGTCGGATCGCTCACTCCTGACCCTTGGCGGGGACGATGGTGCCCTTTATGTACGGTTCGGACAAGGCCTGCCTGGTCTTAGCCTTTGGGGAGGGGCAGCCGGGGACCCCGGTGAGTCTCGTCGCCACGGGGGCAAGGATCGAAGGAGAGGAGATTGGACCAGACGATGCAGAGAGCCACAGTGCCGGGCCCTCAAGCCATGCTGCTGCCCCTAGTCTAGCAACTGGACGCCCCCGCGCAGGAATCACGGTAGCGAAGGGTCGGGGCGACGGTCCTACTGGACAGTCCTCATCGAGAGTCGGCATTAGCCTCCTTGGCAGTTGGCTGCGTTGTACTGAGTAATCGCGTTGCGAGTCCCGGTAATGGAGTAACGGAGGGTGACGGCGTTAGTGAGGAGTGAGGAGGGAATCTAGCTGGCCTGAATCGTCCCCGTTAGGTACCTAGGTAGTTCGTCCCTACGCAAGGTCGGTAAGGCAGGCTTCCTGCCTGTGCACATACCTACCTACGTCACGATCGACTGCCTCTTTAGGTGTCGTACATAGCACAGGTTAGCAGGAGGTACCTGGTACGGTAGGTACACGTACTTCAGGTACCAGTACCTTTGGTACCGGGGTAGGCTGGATTACCCGATAAGGCATGCTACGCGTCGGCTACCTGAGATCATTATAGGCCCCGCGGAGTTGCATTCTCATTGAGAGGGGGGTAGATACATCACACAAATGGCCTTGTCCGGCCTACAACGGTCTTGTCCAGCCTACAATAGTCCTCTCCGGCCTACAATAGCCTTGTCCGGCCCCTGTGAGGGATATATATATAACTATAGGTATCGGTACATGGATGTGGTGATGTCGGCATATTGGAACCTTCAAAGCTTCGCTTCCCCTCTTCGTTCCCCACATACGCGCACATAACACCAGGACTGGATACCGATTAATCAACTTCGAGGGCAAGTAATACGCCGGCTTCCTCTATCGAGATCGCTCCCCAGGGTATCGCCGCCGCTGCAAAGTCGGTCGCCGTATCTTACGCTTACCGAGCTCACACCCACGCCTGCTCAACCAACAGTGCACCATGTCGACCACCATTTCCTCGCTGTCTCTGCCCTCTTCGCGCATTATTTCCTATGGCTTAACGCCGGCGCCCTCTCGCCCCGACGCCCCCATCGTCCTCCTCTCGAACTCCTTGTCCGCACCATTCACAGCGTGGGATCACGTCGTTCCGAAGCTTACCTCCCAGGGTCTGAGCGTCCTGCGATACGATCAGCCCGGCCACGGCGCCTCGACCGCCCCCGCGGATCTCTCGTCGACAACGTTCGAGAGCCTTGCTGATGATGTCCGAGAGCTCCTTCGGCACCTGTCCATTGGACGGTTGCATGCTTGGATCGGCGTCAGCATGGGTGCCGCCACCGGCATGGTTTTTGCTGCGAAATACCCGGGCATCATCCGCAAGCTTGTTGTATGTGACACCATCTCCTGCTCACCCGTCAACATTGGCGCTGCCGACGTGTTCGCCCCCCGCATCGCGGCCGCTCGCGAAGCAGGCAACATGGATGCCGTAACCGATGGCACACTCGATCGCTGGTTTGGCCGTGCGTGGCTGGAAGCCAATCCGGTTGAGGCGCGCCGCATGCGTGAGTTGATGTCCGGCACTAGCATCGATGGGTTCGAGACGTGTTGTGCAGCTATCCAGAGTGAGACCTTTGACCTTCGGCCACTAGCCGAGGGGGCCGGCAAGGGCGTTGACGAGGCTCTCTTCATCGTTGGCGAGAAGGATGCAAATCTCCCAGAGACCATGAAGCCCCTGCGGGAACGCGTCGAGCAGGGGTTGAGGACGAAAGACCGTCAGGCGACCGTGGACTTCGAGGTCATTAAAAATGCCGGGCACGTCTGTTATGTCGACGGCTACGACCAGTTCATAGCCATCATGTCCAAATTCCTCGAGTAATATCTCCATGAACGACACAAACACGTATTTACCCAGAAAACATAAATAAAAACACTCTCTTCTGAACGTGACGGTACTTGTGAGTCCCTACATCCATGCTGCCTCTTGTCCTTGGGTGTGACCCCTAACGCTCAGTGAAAAGCTTCATGAGGCCGTGCCCCCTCGAAACTCGAGGGCTGGACGTTTTCAATGCGGCGTTTCATCCCCACTTGTACCTATTAATAGGCATGTAGGAGGTATGCATTACCTACCCACCCACATAGGTGGATATTACGTACCTATTTTGAAGCGCCTAAACATGTAGGAGGTGATGATTTCATCCCGTGTGCACAGCTAAATCGTATCAACCCTAAGGTAGAGAGATTCTTAAGAAAGCTCAACCCCTTGAAACACGTTCGATATAACGATACCTGTGATATAAACAGAAGGCTACCCTACCCAGAAGAATGCAGTTTCCAGATATCTCTTTATTAATAACATCAGCTAGTCCCGAGTTAGCCATCGCCCCAGTTCCGGACGAATATAGCCTCAGCCCTATTCTAAAGCCGACCGACGGTTGAAAGCCTATCACCGACGAATTAGTATCCCAGGTAATCATATCCTAGGTAAGCGAGGGATCCATGCCCCATGCTACTAGAGACCCCATGCGCGAAGCCGATATGCCAAGCATGCTTGTTCGATGCGATGGATTTCCGAGACTATCTTCTCGACCTCCAAGGCTATCGCGCCTTGGGAAGTCCTACCTGTAATTCTACCCCTTTTCGTCAATTAGGGTGCTGCATCGAAGCTATCTCCATTGACCATCCGTCAAACCCAAGTTTATTGTCGGCCCGCATGATGGCTTTACGATTATATATGGGCTAACCATGGGCAACAGCTAAATCGTGTGCGAGGAGTACAAAGAGATCGGTCTGCATCCCGCTCTATGAACTCTTGCTCGGTCACCGAACGAGCATGAGATACATCTGGTTGGGTGGCGTGGGCCTATGTTTTGGATTGCTTCTCGGCTCTGATGCTCATCCTCTCACCGTCGACCCCTAGGCGTCACAAGCATGGGCCATATTGCGCATCGAGCATCGCGAACGAAAGTCCGCTGCACACCGGAATGGGATGGTGCGGCCAGAGAAAAAAATTTCCCTTTAAATTATCAACTCAGCCATGAGCCTTATTCAGACGTTTTCGACCCCTGTTTGAAAATTTTCGAATCTCTTTGGCAATGCCCTCGGCTGTCTCTCGCGTCGTCTGAGGGGAGCATTTATCAAACTATCCACGGAGGTATCTAGGTTATTCGAGGTTGGAAAAAAGGGGCTACCAGATCCATCCCATGTACGTTCACCCAGGCTAGACAGACCCAGGGGACATAAGCACGTAGGACTCACATTATACACATGTGTACATCTACGTGTCTTCCTCCGAGCCGTTTCAAATATAGCAATACTGGCGCGTATCCCAATCCCGATATTGGTTTTTTGCCCAAGTCGATGGGCTTCGTGGTTGCGTTGGGCACTCATGCCACGCAGCCGATTCGAGCTCTCAGGCCGTAACGAGTGAAGCGGTGTCGGGCTAGCAGCATCCACGCTCCCCTCCCTCTCATGAGGTTCGGAAACTTCTCTCATACTGAAGTGGCCCTCATCGATACTCGTTGGAAGACTCGGCCTCATATCCAGGGGGCGGGCACTAAAAGAGTCGCGTACCGTTCATGATAACAGCCGAGACAGCCGTTTCCGAGAATTCATCCTCCTGAAGTGCTAGAAATCACCTCGTGTTACCTTGGCTTTGTGTAGTGGTTGGCGGTACGTATACACCGGCAAGGACTGAACCTCACGACCTCGGCTGACGAGCGAGACCGCTTACGCAGTGCGAAATCAGAGGCATCATATTCGCGTAGGTCAAACGCTGTCGAGGACAACCTCGATCACGGCACACCGCTTCTCCTCCCGGACGGCCTGGATCGCTTTTTTGCAAGTCTCATCGACGTCCTCGTTGCTCCTCACGACCTGCCACCAGGCATCCCCTGCGCCCTCGGCGATCTTCCCAAATGCAGGGGACGGGGTGATCGAGGTCATCACTCTATCACTCAGTTTCCCCTCGGTTTGGTTGCTCTGTGCCATTCCCGGGTTGAGTCGTAGAAAAGCGTTCCTCGGACTCGCCCAGCCCCCATTATTCCATATAACCGTGAGGAAAGGAGTTTCGTACTTCTTCGCCATCCAATAGGCGCAACTGGGCACGCCGAAGAGCCAGGTGCCATCCCCGACGAATGCTACCACCAAGTCGTCAAGCCTTCCAGAAGCTCTGAGGGCCAGTGAAGCACCAACTGCACCGCCAGAGTACCAGCCTAGGGAACCGCCACCACTACCTATAAGCGAGAGTGGGAGACGGTGATGAAAGTGATCAGCAACATTTCCTAAATTGGTCGTACTTTCGTTGAGGCCTACCACGCGGACGTCGGCAGTGGCCTCTCGAAGACGTGACATGAAATACGGAACGGTAACTCGGCCATCATGTGCAGGCGCTTCGGCTCTCAACAATGCACTGCGTCTTTGGCTGAAGCGTTCTCGAAGGTAACTAGTGCGTCCCCCGATTCGTTCTCGAGTCTCTGCCTGGCCTAGCACAGGGCTACCCCGTATCGACGCGCAAAGCTGCTCTAGCGCTAACGGCGAGTCACATTTCCATCTTCTCTCGCATGGCAAAGACCACAGGGTCATTCCCTCCTTGAGCGGGTCATTATCAAGGTGAAATATCCGCGCTTTCTGAGATGGCTTGCTTTGTGCCGGAATCCAGGGCACATCCGCGTCGATGACGATCACGACGTCAGCCTCGGCTAGCGCAGGTAGCTGGCCGCCGCCATTCCATTGATGTCCCTGGTGTAAGAAGGATGTTGTGGGAAAGTTGTTGTATATCGGCGCATTCTCATGCACTGGTATTGCCAGAAGTTCCGCGACGGCTTTCAGCGCCTCGAAACCCCTTATAGAACGGCCGCAGTAGCTCGTCACGATAAGAGGCCGCTCTGCCTTCAGCATAACATTTGTCAGTTCCTCGGGTGCTGTCGGAGACAGTCCAATAGGCTCAACGGCCGTGTTTTTCCCGTACTCTCGCAGCGACCGTACCTGCGTGTCGGTCTCGTCGAAGTCTTCGCAAAGGGTTTCCCGACTGGCGATCAGATATACGGGTCCCTGCGGGCTGCTCAAGGCGAACTGCAAAGCACGCAAAACAATCTGCGCTGCGTTATGCGGTCGACGTATCTCATGCTCGTAACGCATGTATTGCCGCACGATGGCTCGCTGGTCTGGCACGTCCTGGATCCAGTGTATATACTCATTCCTACTTCCCGGGATCTCGCCGGCCATGGTTATCGGGACAGTGCCCGCAAGGATTATTACGGGAATGCGCCCTTTCGAGACGTTGTGGATCGCACCGGCGAGTCCCTGAGTGCCACATTCGACGTGGACGAGCACGGCAGCAGGACACCCTGTGATCTGAGCGAATCCAGAAGCCGCCGACAAAGCATTCATCTCATTGGGAGACGTAAAAATTTGAAGGTCCTCATGTGACTGCGATGCGAACTCTAAGAGGAAAGCTGGGTGATCAGATCCCAAATTCACGAAGAGATGCGATATACCAGCGGATTTAAGCGCGTAGAGAATAGCGGCAGCACCTGTGAGGCGCCGTTGAGGAGACATTCTTTTTTCTTGTCCTGATGTGCTTGAGCTTGATGTTTCCGAGCGGTATCCAACCTCCGCGTTGATGTCCCGACAGCATATAAAGAAACCTATTTTGAAAGTGAGAGCGCTTCCGAACACCCGGAAGCTGAGTGCCCCTCTCCTATTTTGAAGCAGCCCTCGGCACCGATGATGAATTCTTGTTCAGGGCAGCTTTAGCCAGTCAATCGTCTTCAAACAGCCCCTATAGACACGACTGAACTGCCCCGTCGGAGCATACAGAGTTGACTGGGCTACCGGTGCCATCTGAAATCGACGGAAAAGGTTGTTACGAAATTAGGAGTCATGATTCCGTTACTGTCGCATGCGGAGACTACTTCACTTCTCATCTTCCCCATTCTCAAGATTCCGGGTTAGCGAGAATAGTCCGCAGCCATCTTGCAGGCGGATCTCAGCTAACAAATCGCGCCCAGGAAATTCGGGCGATATAGGAGCCGACAACGCCAACATGGGCAAGCGCCTGTTCATCGTTGGAGTGACCGGCATTCTGAGTGCTTAAAAGCACGCATATCTAGGATCCCTATAGTCGGCCCGACTCCGCCTGGAACGTAGGCGCGGAATTTCACATTACAGAATCTTAAGTTGCCAATAAATTTGTGGAGGCGACCGCTGCGAAGATGGCCCAGGTAGACTTGAGCGAGCTTCAGCAGCTCTTCATCGATGGCGCCTACAGCCCAAGCTCGGACGGCGCCACGTTCACGGTCGCCAATCCGATGACGGGCGAGCCGATCTATGAATGCGCCTCAGCGAGCATAGACGACTATGGCAGAGCGATTGAGCGCGCCTCGGCAGCGTTTGACTCGTGGTCGCGGTCGACACCCACCACGCGCCGTCTCACCTTCCTTAAGGCGGCCGACATCTTAGAGAACTACCTCCAGGGCGATGCACCATCAATTCTGTCTGCAGAGGTCTCCGCCACGAAGAGCTGGGTCCGGTTGAATATCCTCTCCACGGCGGGCATCCTGCGCGAAACAGCTGGCTTAGTAACACACATTAAAGGGGAAATCGTGCCGGCCGATCGACCGGGAACCACGATTCTTATCGAGAGGGCACCTCTTGGGGTCGTTTTTGCGATCAGCCCCTGGAATGCGCCTGTGAGTTTGCCTACCCCTTTCGTTTCCCTTCTCTCTCTCTCTCTCTCTCTCTCTCTCTCTCTCTCTCTCTCTCTGCGTCTGTCTGTCTGTCTGTCTGTCTGTCTGTCTGTCTGTCTGTCTGTCTGTCTGTCTGTCTGTCTGTCCATCTATATGTACGTGTGTGCACCTGCACATCTTCCCCTTTTCATGCCGAGTGTAGCGGTCAACTTATGCTTGTCAAGGTCAACCTGACCGCGCGCGCCATCGCCACCCCGATCATATGTGGCAACACGGTTATCTTGAAGCCGTCGGAATTCTCGCCTAAAAGCCAGCACCTCGTGGTGCGCGCTCTTCAGGCCGCCGGATTGCCTTCCGGGTGTCTAAATTTCCTACCGGTATCTCCTGATCGGACGCCCGCTGTCACTGAGTATGCTGTGAAGCATCTCAGCGTTCGTCACGTCAACTTTACGGGAAGCGACCGTGTCGGTAGGATCATCGCTGGATGGGCAGCAACTTGCCTCAAGCGGTGCGTCCTTGAATTGGGCGGCAAGGCTCCAGTAATCGTGCTTGACGATGCAAACTTAGACGATGCGGTCGAAGCCGTCGCATTCGGAGCCCTGTCCAATTCTGGCCAGATTTGCATGTCGACCGAAAGAGTGCTCTTGCACAACTCGGTCGCGGCGCCATTCAAAGCGGCCCTCTTACGACGGATCGAAAGTATCAAAGTGGGGAATCATGAAGAGGATCCCGAGGTCTCCCTTTCGGGCTTGTTTAATGCTGCCTCAGCCAAGCGTGTGCAAGCTCTGCTAGATGGTGCGGTATCGTCGGGAGCTAAGTTGCTATGTGGCGACGTGTCGGCATCAGGACCGAATAAAACGATACTATCGCCGCACGTAGTCGATGCGGTGACGCCGGACATGGAAATCTTCCACAAGGAGAGTTTCGGGCCCTTGGTCTGCCTGTGTTCGTTTGATACCGACGACGAAGCTATTGCGCTTGCTAACGGCACTGACTTCAGCCTCTGCGCTGCTGTCTTCTCGAGGGACGTGATGCGAGCCCTTGACATCGCACGCCGCGTCCGGGCCGGGAGCTGCCACATCAACGGGCCTACCGTCTACATCGAAGCCACTCTACCCAACGGCGGCACGGGAGGGAGTTCCGGATACGGCCGTTTCGGCGGGATTGCTGGTGTGTACGAGTTCACCGAGCCTAAGATCATCAGTCTAGGAAAGTCGGGGATGAAATATGTCTTCTAGATGGTTTGGATCTAGGCTAGTCTAGGGTGGTCTATCCTCAGCGCTCTTGGGGCATGTCAAGCCGGCTCTCCGGCGCGATTTAGAGAGAGAGGTCATATTGTATCCCCGCGCGCTCTATAGCACGCCGCATTATACGTCCAATCTACTCGAAGTTGATCTCGAGTATCACGTCTACATACGCATCCCCTATAGAGCAGCATCCCTTGTGGAACGGCGATGACGGATTCCCCATGTCGACAGGGCCCGCGCCGCGCCAACGTCATCCTCGTCAAATAAGAGCAACCCGCCGGGAGTCCCAGAGCGAACTGGAGGTGGTGAGAACCCTTCATTGGAATCTCATAAGGGTCTTGGGAACCTTCATCTAAGTTAGGCGCCTAGACTAGGTGGCTATATATGAGGTTGGGCGACCTTTTTAGGCGGTGCGGACAAAGCTGGTGGACATGTTGCACACTGCACCCACCTGGCTAAGACGACGGCTTTTTAAAGGGCGGATTTCAAGAAAAATGCAACACTGTAAGTCTTTCTCCATCTTATCATCGAACTTCCTGTAAGGCGCGAGAAAATAGAACATGCCCGCCATAGAGTACCATTAGTGACAGGTAAGAAGCGGTGGGCATGGGAAAAGGTTAGCTGGTGCGTTCTACTGAGTGCTACCTGAGGCACTGCACTAGTACCTGAATACAGGTAGGTAGGTACCCAAGGTAGTAATGCACGCCACACCTCTTAAGATGCCTATCTGACCTGTCCTTTCAGGGCATCCAATGCCCGAGATCTTCTATTCTTTAGGCAGGTATACGAGCCTGTTAGGCGAGGGTATCGCCCTACAAGGTACTTAGGTACCTACCTACCTCTTACTGCCTTAGGGTACCTAACCCCTAGGCGGACGTCCACACCCAGATCAATGCCGCCCTTGTCTAACTCGCATCCATGCCTTCAACTCCCATACACTCTTTCTCCCCTTCCTTACATAGGCGATACCATACGCCTATTCTCTATACCTATAACCCTATAGGTGTGGTGAGTGAAAGACGCTTAGAGCATCACAAAGCGAAGTTCATTCTTCCGATTGGTGCATCTTTTTTTTCCTCTTGACTTTGAGGAAGCAATCGCCTGCCAGTTTCATGTCCTTCTGACTTCCTTGACGCCTCTGGCATCCAGACGAGGTATTCTGAGCCTGTTTGAGGGGCTTCTGCTCGAGGGGATTCGCTTCAGGCCATTCAGTCTCTACTGTCGCAGCCATGCCTGAGGATTCCACAGATCCTGTGAATGGCATACTTAATCCAGAAGCCTCTCACCATCTCCCCTCTGACGCGATGACGCGAAAACGACACCAGCCAGAAACGAAAAAACGCGCTAATATGACGAGCAATCTTGCTGAAGAGATATCCCTGAAAACCACTGGGTTTATTCAGTCTAGCAACCATCGGGATCTCCTGGATATCGTCGATTCTCTCCGATCTCATGGCGTGAGCCACTACGTTGCCCTGCCGCAGATCATCGTGTGCGGCAGCCAGTCGTCGGGAAAGAGCTCGACGTTGGAATCCCTCTCTGGCATCGCCTTTCCCACTGCTGAGGGCCTCTGCACTCGTTTCGCCACCGAGTTGATCCTCCGGCGGGGCGAGAGGCCCGAGATCAAGGTCCATATTCAGCCCGGCGCAGACAGGACGGACGAGGAGAGGGCTCGGTTGTCGGGTTTCGCTGCGAAGACCAAAGACCAGGATGACTTTCCCCAGATCATCGAGGCCGCCAAGGAGGCGATGGGTCTTACCGGCAGCCAGGGCTCCAAGATCTTCAGCAAGGACGTGTTGCGGATCGAAAGCACGTCGCCGAACGCGCCGAACCTAACCATCGTCGACTTGCCTGGCTTATTTGGCGCCTCTGACAAGAATCAGTCTGACGACGATGCCGATCTCGTCCAAAACTTAGTGGTGTCCTATATGCGCCAGCACCGCAGCATAATTCTCGCCGTCGTCGCAGCTGACCACCCGTTCGCCAACCAGCCAGTGACCAAGTTTGCTCGCGAGATCGACCCTAGCGGCATCCGGACACTCGGGCTCATCACGAAGCCGGACAAAATCGACCCGGGCACAGACCTGGAGAGATACTACGTCGAGTTGGCACAGAATCTCAACGTGTACCTGTATCTCGGGTGGCATGTCCTGCGCAACCGGAGCCACACCACAGCCAAGGACACGATCGAGGAACGAGACGAGAGAGAGGCCCAATTCTTTTCCAATTCCGTCTGGACCACCCTCGATTCGTCGCAGCTTGGCGTGGAGGCTTTGAGGGGGCGGCTGCGCAATATCCTCTGGAAGCAAATCCAGACGGGCCTCCCAGGCGTCAAGACCGATGTGCAATCGGGGATCAAGGATTGCAGGACTAAGCTGGAACAGTTGGGTCAGGCGCGCAGCAGTTTGCGGGAAAAGCATACCTACCTCCAACGAATTAGTAGTCTCCTTAGCACACTGGTTAGGGCTGCCATTGACGGGGTGTATGCCAATCAGTTCTTCGAGTCTCTACCTAACCAACAAGATGCTTTCGTGAGAAGACTGCGCGCCCATGTGCAGAAGATTCTCGATGAATATGCCAAAGATATGCGTGTCAACGGGCACACTCTGGAGATTGTGGAAGACGATTTGGAACCAACGAGGGCGTTGGCCAGGCAGTATACCATGAGGGCGGCTTATCTAGAGACTGTGAAGACTCTGCTGATTGAGTGCCGCGCCCGCGAGCTCCCAGGAACCTATAATCCCATGGTCGTCGCGGACCTATTCAGCAGACAGTGCAAGCCGTGGGAGTTCATCACACAGAACCTGGTCGAGCAGATACATGAAGCCGCGGCCAGCCACTTCAACAAGATCATCTCCGAGATCTGCGACGAAAATACCCGATCCCGCCTTATGAAATGGCATATCCAGCCGGCACTACATCGTCTCCGACAGGATCTCAAAGACAAAGTGGATGAATTGCTGGAGCCTCATTTGTCAATCCACCCCATCACCTACAACGACTACCTAACCAAGCACGTACAGGAAATTCAGACCCAGCGCCACGATCGAATGTTCGACAAAGTTGCTGCGGCAGCATGCGGGTACACGACGAAGACCGCTCCAGCTCAGGCAAATACCAACTTATCTACACTTCTTACCTCGTTGCAGAAAGCGACTCGGCCTGATGTTAGAGAGTACTCTGCCTCACTCGCAGCCGATGTCGCCGCGGCATACTACCAAGTACTTCGTCCCAGCACCTCTCGTTCTACCCGAACATCAAGCTATACCCGTCTATATGCTAACGTGCCACAGGTTGCGCTTAAGAAATTCATCGACGATGTTAGCGTGAATGCCATCGAGACCTGCCTAATCCAACGTCTCCCAGACGTGTAAGCACACATCAACAACATTGCATGAATGACAAGCTTCTAACCTCGCATCAAGGTTCTGTCCCGACGTCGTGTGGGACCTTTCTCAAGAGGAAGTTGAACGACTGGGGTCCGAAGATGACAGGACTGTCGAGGAACGCGCTGAGTTGACGAAGAAGCTGAACGTCCTTGAAAATGGTCTAAAGGAACTGGATGCGTTCACGGCGCGAACCGGCATCCACGCAGTCGCGAAAGAATAGCTTTGGGCTGGCACGCGTAACCCTTACAGAGGCATATTATCAGGATTGGGACCTGGCTGTCCCGTGTATAACCCGCCCTCCCTGTTGCATCGCCCGATCCAAGTCCGCTGGTATGTAAGAGATCTCTAGTCCGCATGGCCCGCCAGACGCATTAATACATGTCAGGTGCCTTGCCGCAGGTACCGTGACATAGCAGCAGCATGGAGATCATTGATATAGACGACGAACAACGCTGTTATCTTTCAAGACTAACGCAACCTCATCACGGATGAACGTTAGCGAATACATCTACCCCATACGATAACGCCCACTTCAGCTCTTAAATCACATATTAAGATCTCCCAACTCCTAGTAATACCCGTACAAGGGTTACCATTGTTATCCACGCAGCCTCGCCCATGTCGCGGTTACGACGACACGAAGGGAGGCGATTCGACGAGGTTGGGTACGATATCATCTGTGTGTGTGGTCGTGTGCGCGTTCTTTCAATCTTATATAAGGCTTCAGTACTATCATCATCCCAGCAGCCTTATTTTGCTCTCACACGGGACTTGAAAGCGAACACACATTCCAGGCTATCAGGTAACAGTAATAGCAGACAGCTTGAGCGTAGGAAGGCTGCAAGCTGCTCTAGCCTCAGTTATAAATGAGGTCACAATAACAATAGCGATTATCAGTTTCGATTTCGCTCTCGTCAAGAGCCACCACCAGAATACCAACCGCTCTTTCAAACACTACCATCCTACCGTGGAGTGGAGGCCGAGGCCGGATCACAGCACGTTACAGCTAGAACTTCGGGCTGTGGCATTGTTCGAGGGCATATGCCCCAACACCCCCAATCTCATCAGCCGATATAGTAAACCTGCCGCTAAGACTTCCAGGGACGCCACCAAAAATAAAAGCCATAAGCCGGCAGAAAACTAGATATTTTTCAGGGTATACAGGTGTAGACTCTACCTCCCTGGGGGTGGCAGCAACTTCAAGACAGGTTTCCTAGCCAGTTTACCTTCTCGCCAGTAGGCTGGCTCGAGCGTGGAGTGATGCCGACGCTACATCCCTCTGAGGTGAAATCGCGACTAAGAGGAGAGAAATTATGACTGGCTTAGCGAGTGGCGAACCATTACCATTTGCGTTGATGGCGACAGTTACATAATAAGATATCTTACGAGAAGAACTCGCAAAATGGGACGCGAGCGCTCGGGCATGGCTAAGGACTGCAGACGCAGCTTAGGCAAGGTAGAGGAAGCAATTATTCCTCATCACTAATGACATCAGCGTTTTTGCCAACTCTGAAACCAAGTCGTTCGAAAGCATCATCCCCGCACGGGTTGGGGCTCTGGAATCGGTGGAAAAGATCATCGTCGGAGTGCCGCACACGGTCCAGGATGATTCGGTGTCGCTTGGAATATCATCCGGACACATCTATTCAGATACAGTCGTCTTCAGCACACAGAATGCCGGCAGCAAGTCTATTCATACGAAAGATGGTCTAGTGCATCCCGGAGAAGTCATGTCACTAGAACTATCCAACTACGAACTAGGATGCTCGCCCGGAGTGTACTGTTCACTCTTCCTGGCAAACCGCCGGTCCTACGGCCGCGCCATCCACAAGTCATTCGAAGTCAACGGCGACGGAACGGGCTAGATTTCTCTGAGTTACAAGTGGTTACGATTTTGGGCAAGTGGAGAGTGCCTCCATCCAAGATTAACGACATCCTGCAGTTCCTCAAGGATTCATCTCTGTGCTTGTCTAATAATAAGGAATCCTATGCTAATCGACGGATGGATACGGTCACGCGTCCCGTCAAGTTAGTAGCTATTCCAACAACGAGTCGTCCATCGCGCCGCTGAGTTCCTTGGGACAGCGTCGAAGCGATTCTATCCCGGCATACACAAAAGGTTAAACTACAAAATACGCCTACTTCGGATTAACACGGACAGATACCCTCCTAAGCTTTTTGAAAGGCCCCGACGATCGTATCAAGTTGTCAAGAAGGCCTACAAGTAGGGTTGAGCTCCTTGAAGTTGCGGGAGCTCTCATCGCATATGTTGCCGACGAAGATTAGCAACTAGCCACGGATTTTCCCTCATATGCTAGACACGCCCATGTTTGAAAATAGGGCGAAAGGACCAGGCACTTCAAGAGCACAGGCAACTCCACTGTCGCTAGGCCAGTACGGGAAATGCTCTGAGCTCACCGCGGGATGATTCTTGCTAGCGAGCCGTATGCCATTCCAGAGGACGGAGGACGCGAGCGCCCATAGAGAAGCTCTAAGACTTTCGCCTTCCTGTTCGGAGACACCGATTCTGCGGCAGTCTTCGTCTTCAAATCTGACCCTGCCACATCCCACGGAGCCTAACTGCCTTCCACGAACCCCAGCAATGTGATCTGGTGTCTGCAGAGTGGTTTGATTGAACCGCATAGGCTTAAGTCCTACTTCGAAGATGCCGACAGTCTTATTATAAAGATCCTCACGATACCTACTTTCGCATCGGATATCTACGCGGCCCTGAGCTCAGAAGAGGCTACCGTATCTCTTCGGATTCTGACTGCGCCGTTCGAGATGAATCTAATACAGTGGAGTCGAAAGCAAGTAAAACATTGCTATTTCCCTATCCAAACCCCGGTGTGCTCACTCCTAGGTTTCTAGGTAATTGCACGACCCTCGAGTTCCTTGCCGCCAATTCCGTTTGAACCGATTGCTCGGAAACCTGGGTAGGCCTGGTCTCACCGTCTCGACGGGCTGTACCCATCTACCATGATACCGCCAGCGGGACTCGAAAATGAGGCCGCCTATGTAGAGGCAGTGGTATCCGTTCGAGATGCCGGCACGTAGGTGGCCGACATCAATATCGTCGCAGCCCTTTATGATGGGGACATCCGTCAGCTGCCGGAACCTCCGGAAACATGCAATCATACCTAGCCGACAGAACCCCGGCTCGTTCGAAATCCCTCGAGACCTGGGACCAGATCCTCGAGCGTCTCCTTGGCATCTTCATGACGAGATCATTCGGCAATTGGGTTTCCCGGCTTGCTATCATGGCCGTCTGAGCACAACGTTCCGGATTGAAATTCAAACGCGTAATCATATGTCCGCAAGGAATGTGCTGGGAATGCGCTGAGATGTCAACACAAACCGTCATCTACATCTAACGACCTCTAGTGGCGAGTCCTATTCTTCCTGCTAGAATGCTCAATCAAATGAAGGTCAGTGGATATGGTAGCTAGGCGCGTGTCTTGTCAAGGAATTGCCTCCTCTCCTCGTGAGACGCGACGAGATGCACACGGGGCCGCTCGGTCGAAAAAGCGCAAGAGGATACGTATAGCGAAGACAGTTGAAAATTTAGTTGTGTATTCGCCCCCATTATACGTGATAATGCGATGGTAATCAATCGGGATGTTGTACCGACCTACTATTTTGACCGTCGAAGGGTGCTAGGACCGACCCGTCTCTTTTTAACCTGAGATCGGGCCATACTTAGGTACCTAGGTAGTAAAGCTAGAAGGGTGATTCCGGAAGAGCGTGTTCTCTGTCTTCCTCGCCGGTCGCGATGTCCATCATCCATATTTAGCAAAGTGGCATCCGTCGAATAAGTGACAGAATTCAACCCACGGAAGGTTGACCGGACCAGAGAGACTAGGCGGTAGAGCATCACCATGCCGAAAATAGGCGAGAGCGAGCGAGCCCTCCAAGAGGGCGAGGGTTTCGATTCGCTCCTGATAGGTGTCGTGCGTTCTCTGGTGTCGTCGGTAAGTACTGGCAACCGGCGGATCAGCTCAGCTCCTATCGGAGGGCCCTAGGATAGAGAAGTGATGGCCGACCTGGTGATTTACGCCAAGCCAAGCGACGAAAATCAAGCTCGCCCATGCTGAAGCGCGACGGCGCAGAGGCGGTTTTGTACGAGACCGGAATACGGTTAGGTAGGTACGTATTTCGTATAGAACTTCGAAAATTAGCTACACACGAAAACTCACAAGCACGAAATGCGCTCGTGTTTCTGGTTTCGATTGGCTCGAGTTGGTTAAGAGGCTCCGCGGATAGGACCTGAGATAAAGGCGCCCGGGCGGCTTAATTGAAGTCTTCCGAGAGACACCGGGTGGCCTATGCCCCATATAGATATGGATGGGTCTTAGTCTTTCGCGTAGGTGTACTAACAACCTACGATATTCAGCTCGGGGCAATGGTTACGCCATTCAGAGACGAGAAGAGATGAGAAATCGGCCGGCGTGCCTCTTCTTTTCCCTTCTTTTCCAAGCAGACTCGAAGGTGATGCCCTGTGTATATGGTCAAGCATAGGCTAGCTGGACGAGAAGCGCGTGCCCATCTTGGTAGTTCGCCCAGCAAGAGTGTTTTTATTATGAGTAAACCAGCATGCGTTGGACAGGGTTCATTGATACCTGGACTTGATGCTCAATCTCACCCGTGCCATACAGGAGTCCTTTTCGTCACGTCATATATATGTCTATCAGGGTGGCACGACGGGACCTGAACCAGCCGGAGCGAGGGTCAAGTATACATACGTATCCAGGGATTTTGGGGATCGCGTATCAGCGCCCCGCCATCTGATATTTCTTGTCTCAGATAGCCTCACCCTACGGCTTGGATTTGGGCGATGGCGAACGGGCCTGCAGTAACGTTGCTACCGCGAGACCTGTCGCTCTGCTTCGGAAACTAGACGGTCAGCTTTGCACGTGTCGGTGCTAGCCGCCGGGGCCCAAAGCTGGATGCTAGTACAAGCGACGGATGAAGCCACGGCAAATGGGATGAGGTTAGTGAAACGGCCTTCTTCCGTGCGCTCGACTATTAGGTACTGCCTACTCATATTACGCAGGTAGACTAACCTGGGGAGGGGTATGTGCAGCACAGGCCAGGACCGGACACGGGCGATGCTAGTGCGTGGTGGCGGCGACGGCAAATCTTTTGGTATTCTTCATGTCCGGCCCGCGACGGCCCCCTGAGGTTGTTGGGTTGTCGTCGACTATGCAGTTCGGGAACATGGCCTTAATCGAGCGCGTCAGGGCCGAGGACTCGGTGCTGTCTGCCATCCCGGAAGCGGCCGAACGAAGCTATTCTAGAAACAAGGCCCCTAGTTTCTTCCTGATCCTGTCCCCGGTCCTGTCCCTGATCTAATCCGTCTTGGGAGGAATACCATCCTTATGGGACGAGAAACACCCTGGAGAGACGGACATGAACATGTATATACGCATGTATTATCTCAGAATGCATCTACCTCCTAGGTATGGTAGTAAGTACCTAAAGCACCAACCATACCATGTTGTGTCTACATACACGCACACAGCACATACCACATACCAACCCCTCCCCACAAACCGCACCTTTTTTCTTCTTGGACCTGGGCTCTCGCCTGTTGGTGGCGGTGGTGGATATGGGAGCCGATCCGCCAGCCATGGGCTCACGGTTCGCTATCGGGGCGACGAGGGCAATAAGGGTACAACTTTGTCGTAGGAAGTTGTTCTATGTAGGTACCTACCTAGGTAGGTGGTTAGTACCTACGTTTGTCCGCTATCGTACGATCAGCGTGACTTCAAAAGCAGGTCATCCCCGTGGTCTCTGCCCGTTATGCACACTACACGTATGCATATCTGTGTATGTGTCCATGAGGAGGTATGTTGATGCTTACATTCTCCCTGTTGACGACGGAGTAGGGCAATAACATCACCGATAATATCTACCTATCTAGGCAGGCGAAAGCGACAGCCTCGGGTTCCCACCTCCCTCGCATTCCCCCCCCTTCCCTCCACCCCCTTCTCTTTAATTTTTCTACTCATAAGAGAAAATACAACTTTATCGGTCAACGCGTGCTCGAGGAGATCCAACGGACTGGGCACTAGCTCAACGTGACCTACAATAAATAATATGGTATGTATGCATTCATCCATTCTGCGGGCTTGGCTCTTGGAGGTGCGTTTCTTTTCGGCCCACGTCTAGGGAAAATCACACCCGGGCCACGCCGCTAAGACGCCGACGATCAGGGTCCTGGTTCTTGCCAAGGGTGTCCAGGTCTACCTATGTATGAATGGTTACTACATAAGCATGCTATACCTGTATCTACATACCTAGGTAGGTAGGTAGGTAGGTGAGTGTAGGCATGTGAGTGTATGCACACACACACACACATATAGATATCAATGCAGATGCATATGTATATAGATTCATAGGGAAATATAGAATAAGGACATATGTTTCTGAAAAGGATAGACGTGGGGCTCTGTTGCCACGAGGTAGGTATAGGTGTCCACTTATCCATATACAGATATACAGCACACCCAGACATACAGACACACACACACACACACCTACGTCTACACAATATATCCGGTACAGTTGACGTTGTGGTGAGCAACGGCATCATCTACCGGGATTTGCGAACGCCTTGCTTTCTTCTTTTGCTTCTCTCTGCGAGGGTTGGTCTCTATGTAGACTTTCTCACCTGCAAGTCATCCTCGATGCCCCCTGATGACGAGATTGTCTCCTCAAGGACGAGTCGTCGGGCGACTCTATCGAAGGATCGAACCGTTCGCGGACGACGACGTTGCAACCTTCCCAGTCGTGCCTCTCGAGAGCTCAACGAGACTCCCACAGATGGACAAACAGGTTGCAATCTCGCGTAGCGGTAGTATTACTGGCAGGCACCGCCGATGAGAGAAGCGTTCTCGAGGGCCTGTTGGATGTGCATCCTTGGTAGGGCCGTTACTATACGGAGGTTGAGGTGTCATCGTATTGGGGATGGCGTAGGGAAATCACAAGATTGGACCTGTTGGATCGGGGCCCCTGGCTCTCTCCCCTGACCGAACCCTGGTCTTTCCCCGTCCCCGGTTCAACGGTTCCTGGTGATCCTGATGAATCCTGGCAGGGCCACAGGCTCCACTATCGGTCGGATCTCCTGAACGAATTTTCATCTTACCAAAAAAAAGAAGGTTGAACGGCATCGTACCCCTTCGCGCCCGAAGTCGTCGAAAGCCAAACGTGCACATAGGCCCCGTTGTTCGCTGTCGTCGAGAATCGGCTCTGCTCGTCTGGCCGGAGATCTTCCCATGTGTGTATAGACAGAATCAGAGTGCAAGCGACAGAGGTGAGAGAGCAAGGATTGAAAATAGAAAACCGAAACAAACTCAGATGCAAACTAGGGATAAGAGAGAGAGAGAGGACGGCCTCGGTATTAGCAGGTCGACGAGGCGCCTACCATTCATTCATTAGCGTATTGACCCGTTACCTCCTGCCTCGTCGCCTACCCCTTCTGTTTTCGTTTTCGACCTATGTACATCGTCCGCACCCCCTTACCTACCACGTACTGGCCCCTAACTATTGACTAACAGCCCAGTCATTAGTCTGTAATTTTTTGTTTCCACAACTCGACTTTTATTACACCACCATCCGCCATCGAGAAGAGACCCAGCTTGCTCCTCCGAGGGCCTTGTATCTGTGTTCGATTTCTTGGAGAAACTCTGGCCTCAGCATCTCCGCTCACCTTCTCCTTGCTTGCTGAAACATCGTTATCGCCAGCGGCAGCCGCGGCGGTGTCTACCTGGTGGCAGATCCTAACAGCAGCATAGATCGCCCTACGTGCCGGACGAGAGGAAAGGCGAAGGCAAGTTGGACAGGCAGATTCCCCTGAATTTGGATCGACTCATGACTCTTTTTTTTTCCCATGTCCAGATTTTCAGTCCCATCCACCCCCCTCTCCCTCCACATCTACCAGTGGCTCCATCCATTCGTCCCCACTAGCCGGAAGCTGTCCGACTGTCTTGGTCTAATGAGGTGCTACGGTTGGCAGCCCAAGAGCCCGTCTCCCAGAAGCCCGTCGCCCGTTGCCCGTCCGGCGCCCCTTTCCTGCGCACGGGCCCCGATAGGCCTGGACGGGCCCAAACCTATCCAGCTAGGCCCGCTAACTTTGCCCACTTATTGCAGATACATAGGTACCTACCTAGGTACAGCACCTACCCCTCGACCCCGTTCTGGTTAATCGGATCGGATCCATCTCGAATCAGGCACACTTCCAGTTAACCCGCTCCCTACCACGTCAGGTACCCCTACCTACCCCGAGGGCAGACTGTGGGTACATACATACCCTACCTTACGGGCTCGACACCTGCCGAGGAACTCCCTAATACATAACATACCTCTCCCTAAATACATTACTTACCTTACCTAGCACCACCGCACAAGCCACTGCCCGTGCTCGCTTGCTTAGCTACACTTACACCAACCGGACCGACCAAGAGCCAACCCAATTGGACAATCGACTCAGCTGGCAAACCAGACCAGACCGAGCCAACGAGACGAACCCCATCCAATACCCCGGAACGGAACAAGGGGGGACAGATAAGAGACAAGAGAAAAAAAAGAGGCGAAAGAGCAAATCATCGTGGAGGACGCATAGCAACAAAAGAGGAGGGAGCAGGAGAGAAGAAAAAAAAAAGAGGGCAGAGATAAACAGCCAATAGCCCACAGCATTCACCATGGGTCTCTTCTCGCGAAAACACAGAACCCCCAAGGCCGTCAACACGGCACCCGCAGATTCAGGAGCCGGGCCTGGCACGTCGACCGGAGACTCTGCCAGTATCGAGTCGGAAAAATCCAGCAACCGCATCTCGTCCGCCACCTATTCGCGCTTCCGAGGCCAGAGCCACCGTGCCTCTGCCAGCAGCATGCCGCAGACCCCCCTAACCCCGATGACGCCCCATCCCGTGCTCAAGGTCAACCTGCCCAAGGCCCCGGACCCGACCCTCGATGCTGCCGGCTACCTGAGGAGTCTCGGCGCTGTCCGCGAGAGGTCCAGGCTCGTTACCGAGAGGGCTTTGGGCAACGCCCTCCACCACTTCGACGTCGACATGGCCAAGTTCCCCGACGTTGTCTCCTTCGTCTGTGGCATAATCAAGGTACGCTGGCCACCCGCCCTCCCCGGGGTTGCGAGCCGCTGAGGGGCGAGCATCTGCTGACCGCGGAGACAGCGAGACTTCGACCCACCCTTCTCGTCCATTCCATCGCATGGCCGGTACCAGCACTTCTGCGTCGGCGGACGCGATCGAATCGCCAACCTGCTCTCCACCTTCGCTGAGAGCGTCGACAGCACCGAGCAGTGCCGCCGCCTGATCGACCTCTTCCTCGTCAGCGTCCTGCTCGACGCCGGCGCCGGCACCACCTGGAGTTTTAAGAGCGCTGAGAATGGTCGCATCTACAGACGATCCGAGGGCCTGGCCATTGCCAGCTTGGAGATGTTCAAAACCGTACGTATCGACCTCCCACATCTGCCGCCGTGGAGGGATAGACAGGGTGTGCGTGGGGGGGGAGGAAGGGGGCCTTCTTACTATCGCCACAGGCCGCGCGCTGACAACTCGTGCGTCTTCAATAGGGGATCTTCTCGGGAAACCAAAACAACAAATTCCAGGTCGACAAAGACGGTCTCGCGAAGCTGACGGTCGACCAGCTGGCTAAGGGCTTGCAGTCACGCCCAGGCAGCGAGGTGGCCGGCCTAGAGGGCAGAGCACAACTCCTGATCCGGCTCGGCGACGCCTTGTCCAGGAGCCCGGAAATATTCGGCAACGAGGGACGACCGGGGCACATTGTCGGTATGTACCAGTATTTCCTCTTTTTCGGGGTCTCCCCCCCCCCCCCCCCCCTGTCTATGTACTTCTCCGTCGGTGTAGTGAATTCCGATCATGCTGACGGTGCGGGTTGGTAGACTATCTCCTCGCACACCCGACGACGCAAGCGTCATCCAATCCTATCGTGGTCCTGCCCGTGCTGTGGGACGCGCTCATGGCCGGACTGGCCCCTATCTGGCCGCCGTCGCGAACGGCCATCAACGGCGTCTCGCTCGGCGATGCCTGGCCCTGCTCCTCTATGCCGCAACCGACTCCGACCCCTACCTCGCCTACCCTCTCTCCTTTCCCCAATTCCCAGCCCGGGCCGGGTGCCGCGCCCTGGGAGTCCATCCTCCCTTTCCACAAGCTGACGCAGTGGCTCACCTACTCGTTAATGCAACCTATGCAGAACCTCCTCAAGATTCAGTTTGCCGGCACCGAGCTCCTGACGGGGCTGCCCGAGTACCGGAACGGAGGCCTATTCATCGACCTCGGCGTCCTAACCCTTAAACCTCACGACACGGAGCGCGGCCTGCAGAACTACAGCAATTACTGCCAACGGACGGGGGCCAAAGGCGTCGAAGTGGCGCCAATGTTCGAGCCTGGTGACGACGTGATCGTCGAGTGGCGTGGCGTCACTGTTGGCTTTCTCGACAAGCTCCTCGTCGAGGTGAACAGGGCCCTCCAGAAGGACCCCAACGGTGGCGAGTTGACGTTGGCTCAACTGCTCGAAGCGGGAAGCTGGAAGGTGAGTTTCGACCCGCTGTGGCCGCGTAGTCGGCCGGAAAGAACAGAGAAGCTAATATGCGATGTGCAGGGTGGTCGCGAAATCGCCGAGGTTAGCCGGCCAAACACGAAGGAACCGCCGATTCTCATTGATTCCGACGGCACCGTATTTTAGTTGGATCCTCATCCTCCGCCCTGTGTCATGCCGCGTTCTCTCCTTTTCTTTGTCCCGTCTTCGCTTCCCAACCCTCCCCATTTTCCTTCGCAACCGTGCGCGAAACCCGACATGGAGCGAAGCTTCCCTAGATTCTTGCTCGAGAGGACCCATACCCACTTTCAAACCACCTTTTCCTTAGAATTCGTACGAAGCAGAACGCGGCCATCTTGAAAGACGCAGGCGGGCTTGCGGACCTGGTTTACCGTTTCCCTTCCCCGATTGTCGTCTCAGGACGAAAACCGAGGGGATGGAAAAGAAAAAACTGTAAAAGAAGCGAACAGAAAAAAAAGAAACATGGATTGTTGAGTCTGTTGCAACGGGCGCGGCATCATTATGCCGCCGCCGTTTGTTCTCGCGAGTTATTGGTAATTATCCATGCCATCTGCGTTTCCCGCGTCACGGGGAGGGGTCACAGCGTGGCCGAAATCAATGAATTAATCGGCTGTCGATGGCTTCGCGTGCGAAGCTATAAGTAGTACCACCTTTGTCTGCGTATTTCTCCCATAGTAGCGGCCACGGTTGGCTTTGAGAACGACGGTTCATCAGCTCTTTCCATCGCTCAACCAGGATCCGACTTTGAAATTGCTGTCCGGGGTCCGTGATATATATATATACACATGTAATTACAAGTATCGGGATGCCTCGTCCTCGCCGATGGGTCCTCCCCCCGTCCCGGACAACGAAGATACGCCTATGGTACAACCCCAGCTACCACCATCGTGCAATATCCCGCTCCGAGCTTGGTGAATCGCAGCTTAGAGCCGACGTATGTCGCCGAACTTGACCTCCCGGATATACGCGCCAGAAATTCCAGTAGACGAATGGTGGTCAAGAAGGGAACGCGGCCTCTGATAAGTGTTCCCGACAAGCGGCATGACGATGCTGGAGAAAGGCTTTTCTCTCTCTCTCTCTCTCTTCATTGCGCCTTCTTCTCGTCGCGCCTTCGTCGACGTTCCTCCAGCCTCCTGAAAGCTTTCTCCTTTTCCTCTGCAGCCCTGCGCTTTTCATAGTCCTGGGCCTTCTGCCATTCCTCCTTCTCTCGGGTATTTCCCAAGACGTCATTCGTCATATCGCCAATTCTGCTTGCGAGGCTGCTCTTCTTTGGTTCGGTGCGCGAGGTCGGCGCCTGCCACTCGGGCCCGGAGAAACTGGCGGAGCTGATGATGGACTCCGTAGGCCGGAGAGGAAGAGGAGGGATGCCGGCCCAACGACGAATGGCTGGGTTGAGAGTAGCCCAGGTCTGCGCGACGGAACCGGCAGAGAGAAGGAAAAAAAACCATTGCACACCGGCTGGTAACCAGGCGGTGCCCATGAAAACCACAGGAGGGAGTCCGTACATCATCAACTTGGACACGTTGTCAGCGCTCGAGGTCAATGGCGGGTTGGCGGCTCGCGTATACTACTGAGCTATTAGCTGATAATCCCGAAGGAGGGAGCTGTAAAAGGGAGGTGGCGGGGGATAGAGGCGTTAAGAGCGGCTACACGATAAAATACGGGGGTAGGCGAGATCGAAAACGGGCCGTCTGTGATGTTATTGGCCGAGGCCATGGGGGCATACCTTGAACATGAGGGAAGTGAGGGCGATGGAGGATACGGGTAGAATGTAATACGGGTCATGAACAGTCAGGTCGGTGAACCAAGCCAAGCCCCCCGTCTCGAGACTGGGCACGGGCACAGCGGCCATGGCCCGGAGGAGTCGAAACATGCCGATACTGAATGGAATAGTGAGGAGCCCGATTAAGGTCATCGACACCCTAGCGCCAGATCGGTTCTTTAATCTCGTCATCTTGTCCTGCACCTGCATCACGAGGACGGGGTCGCGTGTGCGGACTGCGACATGGTCGTACTCCCTTTTCAGGTTCATGAACTCGGGACTCTTGTAGAGCTGTTGGAGTAGCGCCTGGTGCCTGCTGCCGGCTAGCGTAGGCACGAAGAAGGCGGCGCGCCACGCGATGCACAATGTCGCAATGGTTGCCCACCAGGGCATGCCGGAGTAGATGTATAGGTGTTCGACGAGCCATTCACAGCTCGAGGTCGGGCCATATCCCCATTCTAGTCCGAGAGTCTTGAGATAGCCGATCTGCTCGGGTATGTCGAGGATAGATCTCAAATCGAGATCGGTGAACGACTTTGAATACGCTGTTGTGCTGAGATCGACGGCACTCGTAGGATTCGGCGGCGGCACCGCCGGCGGCGCTGGAGCCGCTGATTCTAGGCCCGCGGTCGTCGTCGAAGAAGTGTTTGCGAACGAGTCTTGCCATACTTCGGCGGGGCCAGCGGGATCGGTCAATGATTCGCCCTCGGGGACGGAGGAGGATGAAGCCGAGGAGTAAGGAGGGGAATCAGACTGCGGCTCGGCAGGCGGCTGCTTTTTCGACGAGAAGGGCCAGAGCGACAGGTCTCGCGAAGAGCCGGCGCGCAGAGCTAAGATCCCTGAGGCAGACACAACGATAGGGCTGGAGGAACCGAAGACGGTCGGGCGGCGCAGCTGGGCGCCACGTACAGGCGTATACGGGGGGATGGCGACTCGGCTCGGTGTCGACGGCGGGTGCCGCGCCTGAGAAGAGAACCGGCGAGCGACTAGAAGAGGTCGAGGGGCCTGAAAAGGGAGTAAGCTCCATGCTCGCAATCCCAGGCCGGGACATGCGCGACGGGACGGGTTCTATGTGGAGATGGGATATATGTACCTGCGTCCGGCCGGGCCAGACATTTCGCAGTGCAGAGGCCGGGGCCGATGCCGAAAGTCCTCTCCTCGGCAGCATAGTTGTGTAGACGCTGGACGCACTGAGAAATGGAGAGAGAGGTTGAGTGGGATGCGAATCGTCCCTTGGTTTAATTTGTCTGCTCTACTTTTTTTTCGCTTTTTTTCCCTCCTCTGGGTAGCTTCCGAGGGGGGGTCCACCAACTTACCTCATGGACCTTAGGAGATACCCAGGTAGGTAGGTACCTGGTACGTACATACCCCGCGATTCCCATCAGGTACCTACATATACCCGGCCACGGCTCTCTATTTGTGGTATACCTCTGTATCGGGGCCCGGCAACGCTGTGGTTAGAGACACGGAACCCGGCCACTTCTTCTCCGTTTGATCCTCTCTCTCCATGGCACCCGTTAGCCCGGCTCGCATTGGCGTGGTACCCGTCAGCGGCCAGGTGCTTCCAGTTATTCACTGTCTTCAAAAGTAACGCATTTATCTAGATCTGCGTGACTCGGTTCCGCGCGGGAAACTCGAGAAAGAGTTTTTTTTTTTTTTTGCCTAGCGAGGTATCATTTTTGCCTTTCCCTCCGGCCGTGTGTACGAACACATGTACCTAAATACGTGCGGCTCCTCCCGGCGTGTCCCGAGAGAGAGGGAGAGGGAGAGGGAGAGACGGTGAGAGGCAGGGCTCATACACGAGCAATATCCTAAAGCCGACCGCCCTTTCTAATTCCGTCGTCGGTTTCCTCCCAGTGCCTGGTCCCGCAGGTCTCCCGGATCAAAAGACCATACCGGGCACACGCGACTTCCTATTATCCCGTAAATGTACAAATCCCTGCTCATCCGACGCAGGATTACTCCAAGCTCGTGAGATCTTGTAGGTCCGGTCGCGTCCTCGGCCGGTCGCGAATCTCGATGCCCGGGCCGATGGGATGTGCTCTTCGTCGTGAGAGGGGGAAAACCTGCGTGGTAGAGTTGAGGTCAGCCGCTTCGTCAGGTTGATCCGCTCGCGTGTTGCTCGACAGCATCACATAGCATCGCTTACCCGTGTGCCTCCCCACCCTAACCTGAAGGCGGCTTCGTGCGCAAACAGCTCGCCGAACCCGAGCATCATGCCGTTGATGAAGGGTAGAAGCAGGTTGATGGCGGCGCCTCGGATCAGGGACCAGGCGGTGGGGGCTTTGTAGAGGACGAGGGGCGGCGAAGAGGACGAAGGTGGCGATGTGGAGACGTCTTCGCCGGCGGAGTACTGCTCGCTGTCGGAGTGCATGGTGACGCCTGACCCGGAAAGGGGATGCGGTTCTTCGGAGGACATGGCTGGAGAACTGATGGGGGGTGGGGGGCTTGAGGGAGACGGCAGGGTAGAAATGCTACATGAAAGAAGAGGAAACGGATAATACGCTCTAGCTGCCGAGGCTTCTACCCACCATTCGCGAATTGCTATGCGTAATGAATGCAAGTGGCCAAGGCAGGTGGGTTATGTGATGTGTTCCTGTTAGCCCTCGGTTTGAAAAGGCGCTTTCCTGCAATAGAAATAGGAAACGGGAAATAGGTAGATGCCGGCGTTATCGGCGAGTATGAAGCATGAGGTGCCTGCCTAGACCTGTAGGTATCTCGCCCCCTCTAGGCTTCTTTTTCTTCTTCTTCTTGTACTCCTAGGTTAGGCCATGTACCGTCTCTACTCTTTAGGGGGTGCATTCATCCCCGGATACGTCTACTATACCTCGGTCCAGGAGATGGGTACATCTTAGGAGGTGAGGTGTCTGTCCAGTGGAAGGTTTATAGGTAATATGTACCTGCCTAGGTATCTGTATACCTCCTAGTTGCGTCACCTGCGGGTGCCCCTCATCAGGGGGTACCCAGGTAGGTACCTACCTACCTCGGTCCTCATATGTACTGGACAGGAAACTCAGCTACTAGAGGTACCTACCTGCGGTAATTATAAGGCGTACCTCCAGGTATCTATGGATAGAGGGAGTAGGATGTACCCGTCCAGCGAATTTAGAGTTGGGTGTACATATGTGGGGACCTTGACGTCGCCGGGAAGCTGCCTTGAGACGACCTCCAGCAATGCCAAAGTTGTTTCTACTTCTGCTGCTACTCCTCAATGACAAAACGTGAATCCCACAGCCGCCTTTTCCCGCCATCACTGCCCAAGCCCTCACCCAAGGTTGTACAGAAGGGCTCTGTTGGCCTCCAGTTATTCAGTGTCTAAGGGTGGGATCCATATCCTCCCCCCCCCCACTGCCCCGACGGCCCTCCTCCTCCATCGGTCGACCTCGCAAAACTAGCTTCCCGGGCATCAGCAGCCTCATCTGATCGATCACCATGTCGCGTAACGCCGACCACGACCTTCTCACCAGCGAGTTTATGGCGATGACTGGCGCTTCTATAGAGCAGGTATGCAGTTATATGTTGCCATTCCCCTCCCGCCGACCGGACCATACCCCTCCCTCCTTATTCTATTCTCCTTCATCGTCTTGCCTGCTCTCCCATTCGGCTAACATGACCTCTTCCTACACTAGGCCACCGACTACCTCTCTAACAACAACTGGGACATTCGTTCAGCTGCCCAGGCCTACTTTGACGACGACGATGATGACGACCTCGACGGCCCTGGCTCTGAAGTCGCACCAGCTGAGTACACGGGGCCTCGAACTCTCGATGGCCGACCCGCCCCCCAGCCTATTCCTTCGACCTCTAGTTCCTCGAAGAAACCACCCAAGAAGAAGGGCCTGGCAACCTTGAGCTCGCTCGCGGGCGGCCACGCGCACGACGACGACAACGACGACAGCGATGACGACGATCACGACGTGCACCGAGACACCTATGCTGGAGGCGAGAAAAGCGGCCTCGCTGTCCAGGACCCGAGCCAACGTGATGGCCCCAGACGCATCATCGACGAGCTACTAGCCAAAGCCAAGAGGTATGTCATTTGCTAGGTGACATTTCGTAGCCCCCGGGCCCGCCAGGGTACGAGCTAATACTCTATCTCGTAGCAATGCCAGACGACCAGAAGCGTCGTCGGGTGCTGGTCCCTCCGGTCCGAGCGCCTTCCGTGGCTCGGGACAGACTCTAGGCGGTGAAGACACCCCCAGCCGTATCATACCTGATCCTCTAGCACCGGCTGGGGGGGCCGGTTCTGCGCGGGGATCACGGGCTCCCGGCGAGGTCCAAGAGCGAACACTGCATCTGTGGCGGGATGGGTTCAGCATTGACGATGGGGAGCTGCGTCGATTCGACGACCCGGCTAATGCCGAGGCTCTGCGTATGATTCGAGAGGGTCGTGCTCCGACCCATTTGATGAACGTTAGGTACGACGAACCTTTAGATGTTAAACTCCAGCAACATAATGAGGAGTATCGCCCACTTCCTAAGGTCTATCGACCTTTCGGTGGCTCGGGCCGCCGCCTTGGAAGCCCCGTACCAGGCGAGTCGGCCGTTACAGTTGGGCCTGCTCCGGCAACCTCGGCCACGACCGTCGGTGCGTCGCCTCCGGCCGCCTCTCCAGGCACTTCAGTGGATGAGTCGCAGCCTACGATTATGATCCGCATCCAGATGCTCGATGGTACCCGGTTGCCAGCTCGGTTTAACACCTCTCATACTGTCAACGATGTATACGAATTCATCTCCCGCGCTTCTCCGGGCCTGAGCGCTGGCGGCTGGGTGCTGGCGACGACCTTCCCCAATAAGGACCACACCGACAAATCGTTGGTACTTGGGGAGATGGCTGAATTCAAGAGAGGAGGTACTGCGGTTGTCAAGAGAAACACGTGAGCATGGGGACGGTATGTCATAGACAATGGTATCGCAGGGAGCAAGTCAGCAATTCGTAATTCGATGCGCGGCAGAGCTGCGATTTCCGCACGACAAACCATGTCGTTGCATTCGATGTGGGTAGGTATTCACATAGACGTGGGAAGGATTTGTCTTGCTTATTTTCATGATTACATGATTTAACCCCGTCGCAACTATGTGAGCTGTAGTGCGGAATCCAACACAGCCACCCATTTGCCCATACGTAGGTGTATGCTAATCCACATGATCTACCGCGGCATGCTGTTGTCGCCCCTCCTATCTACTAACAAGTGCTGAGCATGTCGGTGAGAGCTGACTTCTCGGCCGACGTGACGGAGAGTTCCCAGTAGCTCTTGACACCGACCCACGCCCTCGCGTACGTGCAATAGAAGGTCCTCAGGGGCGGCTTCCACGAGTCCGGAGACTTGTCGCCCTTGGACGAGTTGACGTTATCCGTCACCGCCCAAAGCTGCGGTCGGCTGACGTCGTTGGCGAATTGCTCGCGCTTGGACGTCGTCCACTTGTTCGCCCCGGACTGTGGTGTAATAGAATTCGTCAGTCGGTAGGAACTGGGCTTACAGTTTTTGGGAATCCAAGAGCTTCAGGAGATGGAAAGGAGAGGGGAGAGAGGAGAGAAGAAAGAGGTGATGCTGGCTGTCGGCTGTGAAGCAGTGCGCGCAACTACTACCTCCGACAATTCATTCTCAGGAGTAAGGCCTATATATAGGCCGGTAGCAAGCGAGAAGCAGAGGAAAAGTACGCACAATCCAGGCGTTCTTCAGCGGTACCATGTGATCGATGTCAACGTCGGAAGGTGACGTCCAGGTGGCGCCGTCGTAGGGGCTCGTCCAACTGCCGCTGGTGGGGTAACAGTCGGAGCCGACCTGGACGTTGGTGCCGTCACGCCTCAGCACATACTCGCGGGTGTTACACGTGCCGGTGATAGTGATCCACGTGGGGAAGAGGTTGCGGTTGTAGCCGCCATCGTCGACATTCGTCCCGACGGTAAGCCCGTTGAGCTGCGAGCGGGCCGTAGATGCGGACGGGATACCGGGCTAGATGGCGTATGTCGAAGGACGGTGTTAGTCAGGTGAATACATAGGTATAGATATCCGGACGGATAGATGGGCGAAACGGTTCTCGGTAGCCGCGTTCCGCATGAGAAAAAAGCTCACTGACAGGAGTGGGCATCGGCATAGGCTCGGCGACGGGAGCCGGGACCGGGGCCGCAAGAGCGGCGCCCGCAGAGAGCAGGGCGCCGAGCGCGAAAGAGAACTTCATCATGTCTATCTGGCAAGTACCTAGATCTAACGACCAATATATAGGAGAACTAGGAGTCGGCACAAATTGCGTGGGCAGTCCAGGAGACAAGTACAGCGGCGCTGCACAAGGGGGATATCGTTCACTTTATAAGTGACTGGCATCCGGATGCTGCCCACCGATCTCTTCGTAGTAAACATTCCGCCTCCACCCTCAACCGCAAGCGCCAGCCCACCTAGGTGCCAGCCCCAATGCATGAGCCAATTGACGCTGGAATTAAGGCAGGGCCCGCCGATATCGAGGTCTACAGGGTAGCGTGAAGATGATGGCTAGCTGCTGGGTGCCGCACCTCCACGGGGTAGTGATCAAGCCAGGCCCATCATCCGGAGAAGATGTGCGTTGCGTGGCGCGCAAGTCGAAGAGGACCTGCCCAATCGGATGGGTAGTGGGTACCATCCAAGTCGCGCTGAGATCGGAACAGGGCGACGATCAGGGGCGCACAACGCCGGAGACACATGTCTGTCGCTGGAAAAGGGCACAGGGGAACTTCACGTTATCCGAATGCCGACAAAATCATGGGGAACAAGCGAGGGGTTCGGAGATTCTTGGCGCGAGAGAGGCTATCACGAGCTAGGCAGTCCTCCGTTTGTAAAACCATCGCCAATCCACCAGACCCTTCAGGGGACAAGTATTCAACTCGACGGCAGAAACAAGACCAAAGGTCTATCTGGCTGTAACGGCGCGTGATACGTGCCTTATGGGCGCTGGGGCAGGTATAATTGGCTGGCGGCCTATTATCGTCAACCTTCCTAATTCAGGAGGTATGCCGATCACCAAGGGACCCGGCCGGTATGCCGCACCGAGCTATCGCTCCCAGAACCGACACTGATAAAGCCAATAACGCCCCGTTACTGGCCAACGTGGCTCGGCCTGATAAAAGACGCCGCCTAGCACGATGCTCTCGACAAATTGCAGAACAGCTATCCCGCCGCATCAAAACACCGCATATACGCTCTCAGCGCTCGAGTGGGACTCCCCTGATATCTATGCAAGTCAAGTTGTCGGGCACTAGACCGGGGGCTCGAGCAAAGCCCGCAGAGCAGCAAAGTCCCGGGCTACACTAGACGCCTCCCCGCCCGAAACTGCTTCCCGACTTCCGCCAACCTGGATGATGAGATGAGCCATGTTCGCGTTTCGGAGGAATGCCTTCAGAGATCGAACTTCTAGTGAGGTAGCAAGGACGCCCCCAGCCGGTTCTACGCTGGGAGAGAGCTATATCGAAATCGTGGAAGATTAACGCCGGGGATATAAGGCTTCGTGTTATTCTTTCTCGGATGTTCACCGGCTCGTTCGGCTGCTAGGCTTGGTCACGTATTGAAATTATAGCTAGGTCCCGCGACAATTACAGGGCCATCCAAAAATTTGAAGCTCTCACTGGCGATCTGGCAATTCAGCTTTGCCGAATTAAACCTCGCCTCCCCAGGTGGTAGTATGACCATCAGGTACGTGTTGGTGGTGAACTTGCAAACGAACATGGAGAACCTGGCACCGGCCTTGTGTTCCTGAAGGTAGCCGTTAGCAGCTATTGGCGATTGTGCAGCGAGGCCTTCATCATAGTTCGTCGACGATTCCCTTCCACTCCTTCGCGACAACTAACCAGAAAGTATACATACCATCAGGGTGAACTGCTCAGCATTACGAGGAGTGCCGGTGAATCGGCTGATGCTCTGCTTGAAGTGTTTAAGGATGTTGGAAATGCGCTCTTGCCGATCTCCCGTTGGGTTATTCTGGCCCTCCTCTGAGGTCCAATTCGACACGACGAGAAAGCTGGTCCGCTCAAACAGGAGCAACTCCTCGGCCTCGATCAACACGCCCAATGAGCCTAGCTGCGACTCGATGACGGAAAGATTGGGGACAAGGTCGTGAATGATGCCCGCCCACGCCTTGTACAGGGATTGGTCCCATATCGAGGTCGCAAAGGGTGTGAGGTCCAAGTCGCCCTGGTATCCGGCGCCGTGGATAAACTCGGACGTCTTCTGACGCACCAGCCGCACGCGGTCGACGAAGACAGCCTCGCGGGCGTGCGGAGTAATCAAGTCCATCTTGTGGATAAGCACGTAGATCTTGGCGGTCGGAGAAAACTGTGTCAAAGCGGAGATAACTCCCACGTAGGTGGCCATATCACGATCGACATCTCTGGATTCTATATCAAAGACGTATATCAGGACGCCGACGTTGGAGAAGACGTGGACGCGCTGCTGAGAGAGATAGTTTTCCATGAATGCCTCCTGGCCACCGCAGTCCCACAGGTTCAAGGTTAGATTCCCGAGGAACTTGACATGGGAGAGGTCCACATCAATGGTAGCACCGCTTTGTATAGGCAATCCCCAAGGAGGTCGGGTCAGCCTGACATGCTCGCTGTCGATCGTGAAGGAACGGATGGATGGATGGATGGATGGGTGGATGGCCGGGACTCACAGACGTCGGGTATCCCTCGCAAGGTAATTGCTAAATATGATGCTTCTCATGCTAGACTTTCCAGAGCCACTCTTGCCCATGAGCAGAACTTTCTTTTTCTTAGGTTTCTTCACCTCGCTCCGAACGTCGCTCACTGTGCCCAGGCTGGGCGTCGACGCCTCGAGGTCTGCCATGTTGCAGCTATCGACAGCAGGCCGATGCGGTGGGGTGGCGTTCCTGTTCCGTGCGGAGAGGCGATATGCTGCCAAGGTCCGTCGTGGTCTCGACGCGACGTTGGGAGGTGAGCTCAGCTGGGCTTCAGCATGATCTCTCGGCCTCGAGGATAGGTAGAGACGACGGCGATAAGGATGGATGGACCGCTATCACAAGGGTTGGGTCCCAATAATTGAACACTCGATTGTATTCCTCTTGCGGCTTTCTATGTCGCAATTGGATAAGATGCCATCCGCATCCACCCGACGCAGGCTCCTTATTACTATTAGTGATGGCCGTCGCGGTTAGGGGGGAGGGGTTCAGATGGTGGGGTGAGCTTCGGAGAAGGAATTCGAGGCTAGACCGGGAGAGTCCGAGGACTGGCAAGGATGGGAGGAATTGGGTCGACCTGTTGGCGTCGCATGTTGATTAATCACGTGACTCATCATTTCCGGCAGTAGTTGCATATCCCGTCTAAATGCCTTCTTAGGCCTCGGTATGTACCTAGCCAGGCCAGTGTACTTACTCAATTCATTGCCATCTTGGACAGTCAATCATCCGGCCTCCTAACGCTACGCAAACCTCTCTTCAGCATCTGACTTAATAATAAAAATACCTACCGAATATCCTAAGCCCACGACCCAATCCAATCTCGCACTCTCTATACCTACCTTAGGCACTTATATATCTGGCCCGGCCTACAGGAACAAGACCGCAGGGTATCCTCGACTGTTTACATTCCTACACACAACTTGCGGCATCACGACGACGACGGCGACGCTAACGATCGGTGGACAGAAGAGCGTGAGGATATTTCTCCGCAACGTATAGCATAGGCGGAGTATCATAACATCATGTGTATCCTGCCCGAATAATCACTGGGAAATACGCGCCATCAGGTGACTCGAGTTCCATTGACGCCATGGTGTCTTAGACGAGAGACGCGAGATCGGGTTGTCCCCTGGTGGAAGTGGGTGATTTAACGTTTACGGCACAACCTCGTGCCGTATTCGATCACTTCCCAATCTTCAGTCCCGGGTGTGGCCACCGCGTAGAAGACCCCGTTAGGATCCCACTTCTTGCGAATCTCGAGTAACTTTGGATATTCGGAGCCCCAGAAGTGATCTTGCCAATCGGGCTGGTACGGGTCGCCCTACTTGCTGTCAGCGTCCAAGACTTGCATGCGACCGCGCGTCCTACGTACCTCATTCGCGTAGGCGCATCCATTGGTGCCGGCCTTCTTCATCGCCGCATCCTGGATATTCGTGAGCACGTTTTGGAGATCTTCTTTCTGAGCCAGAGTGGCGCCGAAGGGAACGGGTAGCGCGACAATGGCAAAGTCGGTCGAGTTTCTAAACCTGGGGTGGGTGGCACTGTTCGAGACCGGCATGTTCAGACCGGCATCCCAGAGGTGGCCGATGAGGAATCCCTGGTTTGCCAAGTTTCCTCGCGGCGACACTACGGTCTTGAAAGCCTCGATGATGCCGTCATTATTCTCTTCGACGTCTTGATGGCTGAACATCCATCCTCCTGTGAGGGCCGAGGTGCCGGCAGACTCGTCTTCGAACATCTCGGTGTACAGGTCGAACAGCGTGTCGAACTCCTTGATAACTATGCTGTGGGGAATGGCTTTTGATTTGAATTCGTCGAGCATCGGCTGGAGGATGCTTTGCAACTCTGCGGGTGTCTTCCCGACGCCTACAATCGGTGCTACGTGCAGGCGTAGTGCCATCAACTCAAAGTAGGCATACAGACCAGCAGCGACAAACCTATTTGAGTACTTATGGAACGACTTGACGCCGTCCCAGAACACCTCTGCGCTCCTAGTATGGGACGAGTTGATGTCCAGGAGAACACCCGTCGCCTTTTGCTCTGGGAACGTTTTAAAGGTGACAGAAAGAACGACAGCGAATGCTGACGGTCCACCTCCCTTCAAAGCCCAAAAAAGGTCAGGATTCTCTTCCGAGTTCGCGGTCAGATATTCGCCGTCGGCTGTAACGACATCAAATGACAGGGCATTATCCGCAACCAACCCGTATAGCGGCGTCAGGGGACCATGGCCACCACCTTGGACGAGTCCGCCAGCCACCCCGACCGTCTGCGCAACGCGTTAGATTCCAGTCTCCCCCGTTCCGGGAATTCCACTCACGGGGCACTCCCCTGTCACTACCGTGACCGGTGGACTCTGGTCGTGGGCTCGCGTGAGCAGCGTGCGAGCCTGAACCCCCGCCCCTATGGTCACGGCGCCTCCTGTGTAGCCTCCAGGGCCGCCATACGTGGTGGCAAACTCGATATTTTGGAAGCTGTGCGTGTTTATTACCAACGAGCCCCATCCGGTGCTGCGTCCGATGAAATCGTGCCCGGTATTACGGATGACGAGCCGCAGATTGTGCTCCCTAGCGAAATCGACTCCTGCCTTGATATGATCCCTAGACTGGGCTCGGATCACATATACGCCATAGTACCCAATGGTGCAACTATCACGAGGATTCCTCGTCGGCCGACAAGTGTCGTTTGTAAAGTACGTCCACAACGCCGCCGCAGGCTGTTGGACCCTTTACATCAAGCATTAGCTCCCGTCTTGAAGCCACGGATGGGCACCACTCACGTCCACGATTCATCGTAAAACCTAGTTGTCGCGTTCAGACAACTAGCGGCATTGTAGGTCGGCACAGAACCCAACGGGCCTTGAAATGTCTACGACTCGCTAAGGTCAGCGTCTATCGGCTCGTTTCCCACGAAAACGCAAGAAAGAAAATCTTTCTGGAGACTTACATTGTAACAGGATGCCCCTGGAGGGATGTTCACTTGAAGGTTTCCGTCGATCGTGGAATTCAACTCCGTCCAAGAGCTATCATTCGGCCAACAGTCATCTCCCAGATAGCATTTGCAACCGTACTGGGTACCGTTCCATATGCGCTCAACAAGAGGTGGCGGTGTCGAGGAGACACTACTAAGGAGGTTCAGAAAGTTGTACCCCAGGAGCCAGAGTCGAGCCATGATCACTCACGCGTCTAAGGGATGGTGATACTGATCGAGAGAATAGTCGAAGGTTCCCATAGCCCAACCCGAGGGTTGGCGTCTATTTCAAGGTGATCCCGTACCGGACCTTTGGCTGTTCACAGAACCTCCGCTTCCGCGAGATACAGATGCATCTAACCCCACCGAGTAGTCTCAGCAGCGATTCCCTGGGCACGCCTAGGGACGGGCATCGCAGGATATCTGTCCACCACTAAATTCCCGGTACGGCTAGAACAAGTGCCGTTTTCATAGATGCGTTTTCTTAAGGGCTGTCATCCCACTAGCCCTGTTGCTCGGATATTTCCTCCGTTATGAATCAGTCGAGTGGCTAGACCGGCCGGGCGGCGGTGGCACGATTAGCTATATTAGCTCTACAGTATAAAGGCTGGACGGAAACAATATTCGTTTACCATAAAGGGTTCTGTCTTGATAGTAGCAATATATGGGGGGTTTCTCCTTCTTCAAGGCGCCATGATGGTTGCACCGCGATTAAGCGGAAGATTAACTCGTCAACCTCGCATAGTCTAAGAGGACCAATGAAAGTCATTAGCGAGCGCGCAAAGGCGAGTTAAGCGCCCAACCCTCGGATCGGCGTCTCTGCAGTCTACAGAAATGTGCCTGTACTCTCCGCGTCAGCCAGGGGCAGATGGGGATGCCTGTTGTTCAATCCTCCCGGACTGCGCTGCGGGGTTCTTGGCAACTAGATATACCCAGAAGAATCCTACGGCGTCGCTAGCCACGGAAAGGATAAGGGCTACTTATCCCGGAGCAGCGTCGTCGATGTAATGAGGCCATGATTTACTTGCCAATATCTTTAATGCCCAGTTACATCTATAATCAGATCACGGGTTAGCATCGGGAATGGCTTACCCGGCAGCCGTTCGTCCCACATCCCTCCCGTCTTGCCTCCCCCTCAGCTCACCCCCGGATATATTCCACGTGCCGGGGTAGGAATCGCGATAGTTGATAGAGCCAGGCCTTGACATGTCGGTGCGACTCCATACCTCATGACTCACGCCGGGGTTCAGTCGAGCGACTGCTGCCTACATTTTATGATGCCACCAGAGCTGCTTGTTTAAAAGGGGTGACTTCTGCGGATTTCTGACAATGTCTTCGAAGTCCAAGACAACGCCACCTCAACTCTTATCTAGATACTTGCATTTCGGAACAAATCAGACGCCCATAGTCCACTTTCTTTGTGGGTATTTAGTTCGGGGCTAATCATACGCAATCATTGTTGGTGCCGCACCCAATCTAATATAGCTACGTCGAGAGATTAATGAATTCAGCCTAGGTGTGTTGGTCGTGTGCCGTGTTATTATTGCCAGGCTGCTCCCCCTCCGACGCCTTTCGACCATTGCCCCATAGTAATACCAAGACACCATACTGGTGTCTGACGGCCAGCTGATATGTCGTTCCAGCTGCGGAAGGCCGTCTTATCGGACACACCGGCTATCACGGACGCCTTCTACGACGCATTTGACAGACACCCCGTCACCCACCGTGTATTAATGCCACGCTCGGAATCCACAGAGGCATTCTGGTCCGAGTCTGTTCAAGGCGATATACAAGATCCCCAAGGGCACTACTTCGTCGTAACCGATCCGGCTTCTGCGACCCCGGAGAGGATCATCGCGTTCGGCAAATGGCGCGAGCCGGTCACGGCCGCGTCTTCCCCTCCACCGCCGATTCCAAGCTGGCCGGAGGGTGGTGATGTAGTCTTCGCTGAACTCTTCTTCGGGATGGTTAAGACCAAGCACGACGAGATAATGGGGGAGCGCCCCCATTGGTACCTAGAAATTCTGGGCGTCCGCAAGGAGTACCAGGGGAGGGGGGTAGGCAGGCGGCTTGTGGAATGGGGCGTGAGCAAGGCCGATGAGGATGGAGTCGAAGGATTCCTGGCTGCGAGCCCGTTCGGGTTCCATCTTTATGCGAAGTACGGGTTCGAGATCGTTGAGAAGGTCGAGGTGGACATCGGCGCTGCTGAGCCATACGTGGAACGGTTTATGCTCCGGAAGGCTAAGGACTCCCCGGCATGAGCATGTCTACATATCGCGGGATGCAACCAATGATGTCGCGAGCGAGTGGAACGCAAAGGCGGTATGACTTCCATCTACCTGTCTCGAACCCAGCTGGATAGTAACATGGATATGAGTAACCGATGCCTAGGGCAGCACGGTATATATCCCTTTTCAGGGGACAACATTCCCCAGGTTGGAAACGTAAGGTCTAACCACGAATTGGGCTAAATTAACCTACATTTTCTTTACTTCGAGTGCAATGGGGTATTAGTTATATTTTCAACATCGTATAAACAAGTATAAACAGTCCTCCTCGCAACCTCCCCTACACCTTAGCCCTAGAGACAGGCCTAAATCGCTGTAATCACTCGGCGCCCTTCATCGAGAGGCTTACCTACCAGACGAAGACTAGAATCGGGGCTTCGTAGAATACAGATGTACCTGTTCACCACCCTTCCTGAATCCCCCTAGCAATACACCACTGCCTGTACTGCTCGTGCGCCACCCGATAGAGTTGCTCGTGCCACGCCTTCGGGAGCGGGCTGCGGATCTCCGCCTCGCTCATGTGGATCATCGGCGACCCTTCGAGCTTGAGCTGGGTGTACACCCTCGACGCGAGGTCGACTTGGTCCGCATCGGCGACGGCGCCGCCGCGCGCGCGCGCCGCCAGCCGCAGCAGCAGCAGCCGGAACGGTATGTCCTCGTCGTTGGCCCCGCGCACCTCCGAGTGCGGCCGCAGCGTCACCGACAGCGTGCCCCGGATCCCCGGCTGCTCCTCCCACACCTGCCCCCGCCGCCGCGCGATCCGGTCCTCGTCCCGCTGCCGTGGCGGCTCTGCCGGGCGCCCGTCCGAGCCGCCCAGCATCCGGCGCAGCCGCCGGATCCGCTCCTCCTCGTCCAGGGCGGCGCCGCTGGGTTGCGAATTGGACAAAGGCATTGTGGCTCGTGAGGGGACAGAGAGCTGCGCCGTGAGATGTACCTAAAAGTAGTTTCTCCGAAGCAGCTCGCCCCCCGGTAAGGGGGCAAGTCGTTCAAAGAGTTAGGCATACCGTTAGATTTTATAAGGGTCGTCGGACCTTAAAGACAGCGCCTTGGTGACGGTTCTAGTGCTTTGTACAAGGTGTCTGGCTCGACTGCTAACTACGGAGCCTTCACTGATGGTTGTTCCCGAGGCGAAAACTGCCCCTTTGTTCGTTTCTATACTCTTCTTACCCGCCTTGTCGTCACACAGCCGACAACAGCGTTCACTCAGACTCGCGGCAAATAGACGGAGGGCGGACGAGGCTGGATGGAATATGAGGGTGTCTAGTATACAGAAGTAACGCAACATTTCGAGATTTTGGCACAAAAGTGGTAGCAACTCCAAGGCTATAAACATTGCTGGTCTAGCCTGGTCATGGATGGAAATGTTGTCCAAAGGAAAGAATACACAAGAATAATTGATAGGCTGGCCATTTGTATAGGGAGAGTATTGACAGAAAAACGCGAGCCAAGGGACTGCACATAGGGGTCAAAAAGACCACCAGATAGGACTGTAATCTATCCAGTTTGGTGAAGCCGCTCAGGTATATTTGGCACGCTCCCTTAACTGTGTTTACCCCCACGAAGTACGGAAACACAAACTAACGAACTCCAGGTGCCCCGTCCGTGGTAGAACATCACCCAAGGCCTGAGCCAAATCGCCTGAACCAGCGTCACCTAATGGAAGAGAAACATACGCTCTGCAAAGGGGTAACACGTAGTATCGTTACACTCGAGACAGATGCGCTCCGAATATCCACTATATGGGTATAAGCCGCATATCTAGCAAGAGTCGCGAGAGTAAATAGAAAAAGATTTTGTAGGTCGTGGTAGACCGTTGTCGTCAGCAGCGAAGTGAGCTGAGTGTAAGGCAATCGCTCCGTCGGAGATTGCCAAGACCGCCTCCCTTTTTACGCTGTATCTCGCCCCCTGCCTCTCCCTCCAGTACCACCAAGATCACCCCCTACCCGTTTTGTAATAGCCGCCAACTTTTGAGTAACTGGCTTTTTTTGGTCTTGTTTTCCGAACCACTTTCTCGACATCATTCACCCAATCTTCACTTCATCCAGGGGGGTCGGGGGAATGTGGGGCGCTCCGAGCAAACTCTCCCGCTGCTCCCGTTTCCGCCTACCAAGCCGGTCACACCACTCTTCGGCACTGATAATGGTGCCGTCGAGGACTCCAGACACCTGAGACATCATATCGAGGCCCTCCTTAGCGAGAACTAGGACTCGCTGGGCACTCTCGCGAGTCTCCTTCTCGCACATCTCCCGATAATCCGCCCTACTGGCCTCGGTGTGGTGAGCCTCAGGTGGCTGGCCTTCGCCGACCATGCTTGCTACTCGGAACCGCTGAGGCAGGCTCGTTAGATGCCGCCGGACCAGCTCCCGCGCATTGTCCGGTAGAGCACCGCCCGCATACCTGCTGACCGTGTTGATGACATCCTGAAGTGTTTTCAGGACATCCATCTTGAGTTCGGCGATCTTAGCGGCGAGTTGGCTCCTATCCGCGAATTCCTCCGTCGACGACGACGTACCCTGCATCGGGTGATCGCCGTCCGTTCGGTTAGGATCGCTCCGCTCATACTTTTCCATCGTAGACTTTAGGGAATTGATGACATTTCCGATACGAACGTTGGCCCACCGGAGCCAGCTTAAGCAGTACTTGAGACTCCGCAGGCTCTCCTCACTCATGGCGATACTCAGCCCCGAGGTCGACATGATGAGACGCGACTGCCACGCCGCATTGCTCGGACGCGTCTCGGGCGGTACGAATTGCTCTGCATAGGGTGGGGATCGGAGTTCGTCGTACGCTGGCAGGGTGTCTACGGTGCTCGCAACTGAGAGTCGGCGGCTCTGTGAGCCGTCCAAGGAGGCCCTCGGCGTCTCCATGCCGGATCCAGGCTCTGGAGTGGTCTCCCTGAAGGTGCCAGTCCCATTGACCCTTCTACGCTTGTTGGAACCCGAGTCGGCAGCTTCGACGTCTGAGCCTTGAGGCTTGTGCCTTCTCCCACCCCCTAAGAACCATCGGACGCCACCCTCTACGCCGGTCACACGGCCGACGGAACCCACCGTGTTCGCAATGGGGATCACGTAGCCCTCCACGTATTCGGCGCCCGATTTGAATCTGGGCGAGTAGTTCTTGGAGCTGACATAGGCGGAGGTGGCGCCCTCGATGGTGGTGGCCAGTAGAGGGTGCGAAGTGGTGAGTAGCGAGATGAGCGGCTCTGGATGGGATCCGTTCGCCTGGGAGCGCGGCGACCTCGGGACTGTGGTGCTCTTGTTCGTCGGAGAAGATACAAAATCTGCCGGAAGAGACTAATCATTAGCGGCGATGCATGTGCGGTAGAGAATTCACGATTTGTGACAAGTAGCAACGTGGCTGCCGGCGGTAGTGACGACTAACCTGCTCTCAGATCGCCGAGGGCCTCGGCGGCCATTCGCACGTCCGGGTCGTCCAAGCTGACGCTGCTCGCTCTCCCATCCGGGAATCGATCGGGCGACGGGGCGCCCGCGCCGCTGTTCCCGCTGTTGCTGATCGTATCTATGTCCATCCGCATCGGTGGCTCGGCATTCTGCGCATGGCTCGGGGTGTAGTACGCGGTGAGCGGGTTGAGACTTGGCCAGTGACTGAGAGGAGACGGTGCCGGGGGAGAGTATACAGGATCGGGAGGGTAAGGCGGCGGGTATCGAGGAGGAGGAGCGGGTGGACCTGTCAAGGTGGATAGAGAGGGCAGGGTGTTGCTATTGGGTTCCTGGTTGGTATCGTCGTGGCTATTATTGTGGGTATTCATAGACTTAATAGGTGCAAGCTCAGCCTTGGGGCCGTCGGAGAACCGAAAGGGCGTCGTATCGTGAGATTGCGCATAGGATGGTGGAGGGTATAGCGGGAGTTTGAAGGATCGGTCGAATCGGTCAAATATGGAAGTTGTCGGATCGGAGGATGGAGAGATGTGTTGGGAATCTAGGAGACCATGCTTATGATCGTGAGACAGCGGGGGAAGAGACATGTGATTCCGGTGCTCCATCGCGTGTGTGCTCGTGGCTGTATATCTGTATCGCTTCCAAGCACGAATAAGTGGCTCCTGTTCAAGGGGCACTGACTGGCGATGGGTCGCAAAAATGACAAACAGCGATCATTTGCGCCCCGGCGACGGGTTCAAATCTAAGAGACCTCTGGTATCACGAACGTAGTACGTATGCGTGTATGCGCGTATGCATGAATGGGCGAACGAGAGGCGGCGATTACTGCGGTGAAGAGAGAGAGAAAGAAACGAGGCGAAGGCCGTCGGTAGTGGTCGACTTGGTTAGGCGAAGATTGAGAAATTCATGTAACGATTTGACTGTTGTGTCGAATTACCGGATTACCCTTCCAAAGTCTAATACGAGGTTGAACAGACAGAATCGCATAAAAATCAATATAATACGATACGGCGTGTGGTTTAAAAAGCGAGAGGATGCAAGGAGGAGCAAATAGTAGGTAATAATAGCAGTAGCAGTAATGATCGAAGTAATAGTGGTAGGAGAGAGATGACCCGTCAGGTAACAACAGGTGAGATGAGGTCGGCCTCACCAGATTTCGGCGTGCGAAGCGACGGGAGACGTACAACGAGAGAGAAAAAAAAAAAGAGAAAGAGAGAGACAACGGGAGACAGGAGGTGTGGTAGAGACAAGAAGCGGTAGTGAATAGGTAGATTAGATGCCTAGGTAGGTAGGCGTTGACGATCTAGGTATGGATGATATGTAAGTATGTACGGGCTAGACGGGGAGCGATGTCAGAGACATGGAGACAGGGACCCTGTGGATTTGGATTTTTGTAAGGAAGTGATGTAACACATGTGGGAATGGAACTGAGACCATCAGCACCACCCGTGCTATATGGGGAACCGGCAGGTAGTTATGTAATATGCAGATGCAGGTCTTCAACGCCTCTTGTCGCCCCGGTGGAGACTGGAGAGATAGGTGGGCAGGGCCTAGGCATGGGATGGGGATGGTGAGGAAATCGAACCGCGGTGGTGGACCGACCGTGTACCTATGCGATGGGTGGGTGGATGGGCGGGTTGCCAGAGCGTGTCTATCGGCATCGGATATCTCGCGAGCCCGGGAGAGTAGTTAAAAAATTAATGAAAAAAAAAGTGAGAGAGGGGGGAGGGAGCAGACAAGGGAGATGAAGAATGAGAATGCGTGCAAAAAAGAGGTGGGATGGGACGGGAATGGGGAGGGGGGCAAGAAGAGGCATAAGAGAAGGGATCCCGGCCGGTGTTAAGATACGATCCCCAACAGCATCGCGAGGTACCTCGGGCGCGGGAAAAAAGAGGTGATACGCCTGTAAGCCTTGGGAGTGTTCTAGGTACCTGGCCGCGGAGAGGCAGGCTGCTGCTTATCAGCAGAGCTCTCTGCTAGCCTGCTCGATGGAATGGGTGCTGGGTAGGTGTTCTGGGGGTGGCTGCGGCTTCAGACAGCGAGGCGCTGCTACAGTGGCATGTTCGCCTGCACAGGTGGTCAGGCGGTGGTCTTGGGACTGCAGCGCCGCTACCATCACTTGGAGAAGGGGGGTGAGGCACGGCAAAAAGGTACACGACGCCTCGCGCGGCCACCAGCCAATCTGGGGCTGGGCAGCGGCGCCAATTGGCCAGGGAGAGTCCGGGAGGGGGGGAAAGGAGGGGGCCCCACATACGGGTACCTAAGGTACCTGTCACCCTACCTAAGAGATCTGGTACCTCCAGGCAGTATACAGGCAGTATACAGGCAGTATATGCGTACAGTGTCTCGTACTGTACCGTAACCACCTCAGGTACCTCCGCGCCAGAGTCGGCTGCCAGCAGCCATGTGAAAAGGGACGACCGGGGAGAGGAACGAGGTCCGCCTTACGAGACACCGGCACGAGCCATTTGCCTTATCCGGGTAGCTCTGTGTGTTACATGGCAGGAAGGGAGGTACCAACGGCGGCGATTTCAGGTTTTCGGAGGATATGCGTGCCAGGGACCTCTCCCATTTGCTTGGGGCATATACAGAGGTAGGTAGGCAGGCCTACGGGTGCGAGCGCAGGTGGGTAGATAAATACACACACATATAGGTATATCTATATCTATATATATACCTCTATGTCTATATGAGGGAGGGTTAAGCGTTGCCCGTCGCCATTGCAACCGCTGGAATAGGTAACCTCCCCTCCTCCCCTCCTACCCATCGTCACGGGCCCTTCTTTCGCCGTCCCGGAAAACTGCCCACCACCCACCTATGGCCGACCGGTGAGCTGCCCTACCGCGGGGAGACCGGTGCGAGAGGGACATGCCTAATACGTTACGGCTACAACACCCTCTGGTGTCATATGACGCCCGACTTGTCAACGCGATCCTATCCGTAGCCCGCGCCATCTGGATAAATACCCATACGTAGCAGATGGAGCCACGACCGGCGCGAGATTGGGCGACGCTAGGAAGCCCAGTACCGACGGCCGGCCCTGGCGCAAGGGAGGTACAAGCACGTGTCAATCACCCTAGGCTGGCCCCGGATGATCACATGCAACTACAACATTAGGTACCTGTATTATACACGTAGGTATCGCCTTGGGTCGCTAACTGCTCCCATGGAACAGTGCATACGCTCCCTGCCGCTTCGCCTGCCGGCACTGTATGACAACATACCATGTACATCTACCTAACATATGATTGCCGTCGTCTGGACGCGATCGAATCCCTTTGATGGCCATCCCTCCTCCCTTCTCCCTCCCGTCAGCATTTTTGGGGTCCAAAGCCATCTGGTCTCCCTTCCGTCACAGCCGGGCATCGACCGTCAGATCTCTCTCTCCCTCTCCCTTTGTTCCCAACCCTTTTCTGACCTGCCAACTCTTCACGCCGTCCCATCCTAGCAGGGTTGGTTGGCAGCTCTGGGTTGGCATCATACGCCCTACGCATTTTCTCCCCTCCAACGAGTTGTAAAACTCAACCCGATCTACCCTATCGCAGGAGGAATACCTCCCCGTGTCCAACGCCTGCTGCACACTAGGGTGCGCCATGCTATCTTCGCACATACGTAAGAGTCCCACCCGAAGCCGTCACTAGAGTTTCCTCGGGGTTTGCACACATCATACGAAGGTATACTCGGAGTAATGTACGTACGTGTATGGCACCTATATGTGCGAGGTGCTGAAGAGAGTTGCCGACTAAGTGGAGATAAGTGTAGAGCACAAGCAAGCCAATCCAAGACTCCCTCTCCTCGAAAGCTTCTGGAAAACACGAGGAGACCAAGCATCTGCCGCGGCACGTCGAGGCATGTATCCTGCATTGGCACTAGGCTCCCAAAAAGACGCCCGTATTTATCAGGATTCGAACTCGTCGCCGAGCCCGATAAGCAGGTCTAGTCTAGCTGGATTAGCTAGAGCATGATTGGGCCTCGACCTGACCACACATGTGATATTTTGTCGTGACCCAATTGCACGCTCACCATAACGACACTGAGAGAACAGCCTGGTGAGGACACACGAAGAATTGCCCTACCACACCTCGGCTGAAAACTTTTTCGTTTCTTTCTTTTTTTAGTATGTGATGGTGAAACATGAAGCTCTCTCTTCGCAACAGAGCCGTATGTTATCCATCCTCGGGAATGCGAATAGATAACAATGGGCCGAGAAAACGAGGGGAAGGAGGATAAGAAGATGAAATGTCTGGTCCCTCTGACGCTGCCCAAGCAACAGTATGCTACCAGCACGGCAGATAATGCTCGGGCAGCTCTTATGGCACCATATTCTAGATTGAATCCTTCTCCGCGCCTCGAAATCGCAGACTACATCAACGGCACGACGGGAAACCGACAGAGTATGCCGGCACCAGTTGTGTGGTAAATAATAATGAGTTGCACTGTCTATTGGACGCGTTGAAGGAGAGGAAGGAAGCGAAAGAAAGAAAAAAAAGAACAGACGAACTTTTATGTTGCCAAAAATATGAATTGGGGGTGGGATGTCGTCATGTGACCACGGGAAATTCCAGTCGAGATTTTAGGCGCCTTTCGTACCTTGCGTGCCTGGTAGTAGGGCCGACTGTGGCTGTGGCTATCCATGTATGTGGCTGATAACCCATTTAGCAAAACCTCTGGTACGACCGACTACAAGCCAAGGGTCGAGAAGGGAGACTTCGCGTACGGCCTTGTCCATGAATACCATCCCCTGCTGCGTAGGAGCCACGCACACTTGCGATTAAACCACCCGGTACCGTCGAATGTACGCGCCGTATACCTAGCATCCGCCTCCACCACCACTAAAGACCCTCCCGCCTACTTACCGGCACCAAGTCGCAGCCTACTTACCGGCACCAAGTCGCATGACGGAGCATCACTGCGACTTGCTGCTGTCTGGCCCAAGTGCCAAGCGACCTTGACTCCCATCCGCGTCTCCCCCATCGATCGTCATATTCCATATTCGACGCCATGGCATCAGCAGTATTCTTTCTCGACCTGAAGGGCAAGGTACGGCCATCTCTGTACGGCCCTCCCTGCGGCGACACCTCTGCTAACCAGCCGCTGCTGTAGACCCTCCTCGCTCGAAACTATCGAGGCGATATTCCCATGTCTGCCGTCGAGAAATTCCCCATCCTCCTCAGCGAAGCCGAAGAAGAGTCCTCTGCTGTCCCGCCGTGCTTCTCGCATGAGGGCATAAACGTGCGTATCCGGGATGTCGCCGCCCCCGGTGCCAACGCTGACTGCTAGCCTCAGTACCTCTACATACGACACAACAACCTCTACCTGCTTGCCTTAACAAAGCGGAATACCAATGCCGCCGAGATCCTACTTTTCCTGCACAAGGTCGTCGAAGTCTTTACCGAGTACTTCAAAGCGCTGGAGGAGGAGTCGATTCGCGATAACTTCGTCGTTATATACGAGCTCCTAGACGAGATGATGGATTTCGGTTACCCGCAGACGACCGAGTCCAAGATTTTACAGGAATACATCACCCAGGAGTCGCACAAGCTGGAGGTGCAGGCCCGCCCACCCATCGCAGTTACGAACGCCGTCTCGTGGCGCTCCGAGGGTATAAGGTACCGAAAGAACGAAGTATTTTTGGACGTGGTCGAAAGCTTGAACTTGTTAGTGTCGGCCAACGGAAACGTGCTAAGATCGGAGATCCTCGGGGCCATCAAGATGAAATGCTATCTATCCGGCATGCCAGAACTACGGCTTGGCTTGAACGACAAGGTCATGTTCGAGACGACGGGGAGGACAACGCGAGGCAAGGCTATCGAGATGGAGGACGTCAAGTTCCACCAGTGCGTTCGGCTTTCGCGCTTCGAAAACGACCGGACTATCTCTTTCATCCCGCCAGATGGCGAATTTGAGCTGATGAGCTACCGGCTGAACACCCAAGTCAAGCCACTGATATGGGTGGAATGCGTGGTCGAAAGCCACTCGGGGTCGCGGATCGAGTATATGCTGAAGGCCAAGGCGCAGTTCAAGAGGAGAAGTACAGCGAATAACGTCGAGATCATCGTACCGGTGCCCGACGACGCCGACTCGCCGCGGTTTCGGACCAATATCGGTGCCGTCCACTACGCTCCTGAGCAGAGCGCGATCGTATGGAAGATCAAGCAGTTCGGCGGCGGTAAAGAATTCCTCATGCGGGCTGAGCTGGGACTTCCTAGCGTGAGAGGCGACGACGAGCACGGAGGTGGCATGACCGGCGGATTTGGTGGAAGCATGGGTGGTGTTAGCGCCGGTAAGGGAGCCAAGCGGCCGATTCAGGTGAAATTCGAGATTCCCTACTTCACGACGAGTGGCATCCAAGTGCGATACCTCAAGATCACGGAACCTAAGGTACGTCGCCCACCGCCGACCCCGTTCTCATCCGTATTAACTGTGTACCTGTAGTTGCAATACCCATCCCTGCCTTGGGTCAGATATATCACACAATCCGGGGATATTGCGGTGAGACTGCCGGATGTCGTATGAAAGGTCACTGTCCACCTATAATGTATGATGAGAATATTGCTTCCGACAGGTCTAGAAAAAAAGGCTTCAGCTAGAGGTGATATGTCACAACTGATGGTGACAACGCGGGCATTCCGAAGAGGATATGAATGAGACGAAGTCTTCCAAACTCCACCTCGCCAACCTCCCCCTTTTCTCTATAATTCGTAACGTCCATGATCACTTATCATCTGTTATAGTGTGTCATTGAAGGCATTTCTCAGAGCTGGGATGGTCCCGGAACGTACTCATCTACCTTATAAGTGATGATCACTAACGACATACTTGGAGGTTTTCGCAACCAACCATGGTAGGAACTTACCGTACTTTCCACCTCCGCAGCAAGGGACGGCGGCAGTCTATTCAGCTCTATGATCTACTACGTTTTAGTTCTATTGCAGCTGGAACCGGTCAGGTGAGCGATCATATCGGTCACCATTCTCCTCGAGAAAGGCAACGCTATAAACTAAGTTCGCTCCCCCGGCGTAAAGCTCATCTCTCTCTATTCTCCAGTCTCGCCGCACCTCTCAGCAAGTCTCGTCGCCTCCGATCGACGAACTACCAGCTCTATCACGGCTACTATCACCACCATCATCCACCTCTTGTCCATCTTCCCACCCCTTTACATCCTCCCTTAGCTGCCACCATGCGCCTCATCAACGTCCAGACGCTGAGGCTCGAGGATTTCTTCGGCGCGACCCCGACGCCGCCGTACGCGATCCTATCGCACACGTGGCACGGCAACGAGGAAGTGACGTTCCAGGAGTGGGCACGCGCGGCGCGCGCGGACGCGGCGGGCGCGGCGGTGCGGCGCAAGACAGGCTACGCCAAGATCCTGGGCGCGTGCGCGTGCGCACGCGCCGACGGCCACGCGTACCTCTGGTGCGATACGAACTGCATCGACAAGCGCAGCTCATCTGAGCTCGGCGAGGCCATCAACAGCATGTTCGCCTGGTACCGCAACGCCACTGTGTGCTACGCCTACCTCGCCGACGTCGCGGCCGGCGCTGAGCACGCGTTCGCCACGAGCCGTTGGTTCACTCGCGGCTGGACGCTGCAGGAGCTGCTGGCTCCCGCGCGCGTCGTCTTCTTCGACGCCGCCTGGGGAGTCCTGGGTGACCGCAAGGAGTTGGCGCGGACGATCTCCGAGATTACCAGGATACATATCGAGGTCCTGGAAGCTCGTAAGCCTATCCGGAGCTATTCGATTGCTCAGCGGATGTCCTGGGCAGCTGATCGTAAGACTAGCCGCGAGGAAGATATTGCGTATTGCCTTCTCGGGATCTTTGATATCAATATGCCGTTAGTATATGGCGAGGGAATGAAGGCATTCACTAGACTTCAGCAAGAAATTGTCTTGGTTTCCAATGACCAGAGTCTCCTTGCGTGGGACTTGTTACATCCTACAGCTAACTCCGCCACGAGTGCCCTAGCGCACTCCCCCAATGAGTTTCGCTTTGCCGGCTCAATAGTTCGAAACAGGGATATGCAGAGACGTGCCTATTCCGTTACTAATTTAGGTATATCAATACAACTCGCTCTCATTGAGACTCACGTCTCCGGGATGGTTTTAGTTGGCTTGAATTGCTCCAAGGAGCTGTACCGGGAAGTTCCTCATACAGAGTTCCCAAACGGTGTTAAGCTACACAGGCGCTTTCGGATCTGGATTCATCTGTGCCGTATAACATACGACACTTATTCCAGGGTGCATCATCCATCATCCAAGATATTTATGGGAAAGTCATACGCAACTTTAGGGAATCCAACACCAACTGATCTATTTTTAAGTCTTAAATCACCTCAACCTTCCATAGAAGGGCCCACCCACAGCCTTCCACAAAATTTGGGAGGAAATTGGAACGATTCAATTTCGAGTGTCCTTGTTACTGTCGCCGCAGGGAAGTTGTCGCAGTATGGACATACCATGAAAGAAGTATCCCCACTGGGCCATTTTTCAATTGTCCCATTGAAACATCCAGGCGCATCTACAATGTCACACCAATTGATATCCTGCGACGGCCGTTCTTTGATATTCTCGGTCTTCTGGAATGAATACTTTTGGCCCCATGCATGGTTATACACAGTCATCCCAGATCCTGAGCTACAGGTCTGCAGCGAAATGGCTCGTCAGGTACAATGGAATTGCCTTTTCGAAACACATGGGCATACTCAGTCTAATCAATGTTGTAATAGCGTAGCTGCTATGCACTCACTCCACAAAGGGATATACGATGTATATGGGGGCTCATTAGGCCCGGCTTCGGGGGTAGAAATGGACCCGGTAGTCATTGTAGAGAGTTCTGCTCTCAAGGATGCATTTCAGAAACCTGTGCTGATAGTCAGCGTTATTTTCCAGAGCAGCAGAAAGTTTGCCATTGCCTAATTCAGTGTCGCTTTACCTACGTCTCCAGTGCCGCATACTGAACACCGGGAACTTCTCTGTACTGCGATAGGTTCACTAGCTTCACTCTTATCAAACACTACGTGTTACTTATACGACACAACACATCGTGTAGGATAGTTGCAAGTCTCTATGTTGAATTCTCTGTTACATGAGAGCAATACCTAAGAGATCAGTGTGAGGCTGTTATGCCACAAAGTTTTATCAGAAAAAAGGGTAAGTCCGATATGATGTTATATATTAACCGTGCATTTCCCCCACGATGGAAAATTGTCAACCATGAATATGTAATAATATTATCAGGCCTCATGAGGTTTAACTACTTATGATTAATCGACGAGGCGTATATAAACTCGCAGCATAAAAATTTATATAGGAATAAGTGTATGGCACTTTAGGGCAGGGAGCCATCAATTTCCTTGTCATTAATTTTCCTTGTTCTCCGCCATCAACTCACCTTGCGCTTGTAACAGACATAGTATAAACCGAGCATCGTTGCCAGCATTCCGAAGTAAATGTCTTTCATATGGTATCTGCGCCGTTCTTTCCAAAGCCTCTTCAAGAGAAACTTCATTTAATTGAAAATGCTGGCTTTGCCATATTTTCCGAGTATCGAGAAACGCTATAGAGCCTGCCGGATTCCAGTAGTTCTTGAGGAGGGCCATTGTGTGGTTGATTCCGTGGCCGATAATGATGGTGGTCCGACATCCAGTCATTAATGGCTGCAAAATATCATCGAGCATCCCGGCCACCTGGGAAGGAACAATTAATTTAGTCTCCCCAAAGGCAAAGGTATCGGGGAGGGATGGAGCGTCCGGAAACATATCATCTTGGAGTTTCCAGCAGTGAGAATCCATTTCCTCTCCGTCGTGGATGGTTGTGCACCACGTGGATACCCCAATGTCCGTAATTCCACCTCGATCTGGACACCTTGGTTGAACGTTGATCGAAACAAAAGCCATCGGTTGATTGCGGGATTCGCGCCGAAAACGAACCAGTCTCTCCTTGTCGTCCATGTCCTGCACGGGTGCCAACTTGCTTTCCTGAGCGACCCCTAAGGCGCCCCAATTCTGAAATAATAGTTTTGCATGTTTGATAACAAATGCAGTGGGCTGGGATAATGAAATTATTTGCCCATACGACCAGGTTATCAAGTTTCGAAGTGCATCCATAGGTGTGGTTAAGTTGAGGTAGTCTGGCAGCATTCGATTTCATTTTTTGCGATTCTAGGGCACCGCAATTCATTATAAGACTAGGAAATGGGTTTATGGTCTTTGGCTTAGGTAAATAATAAAGAAGAGGTGCACAGAGAATAATAACTAAGAGGATGCTCTATTAAAGCTCAAAGAATAGCTACACAGCCTGTTCCACTGTTTTAACTCAAAGACGACATCAGTAGAAGTGCTTTGTACGGTTGCGGCAACTTGAAGGTCGTTGTTTGATCTTGTAACTGCATTTCCTTTACGAAGCTATACCTATGAGAAGTGTAGCATACATATTTCTCTAATATACCTAATATTATAGGGCAGCCCTATTTCTTAAAGCATCTATTGGCCTCTGATACTTTGTAGTATTTCCCGAACCACACAACAATGAAAGAAAGAACAGGTAACAGTGTACCCGAAGACAATGCGAGTTGCTGACAAAGACACAGTCGAGGAGGTCTAGTCGCAAAAGGGACAAGGGAGGCCCCCACGTTCTCTTAGTTCTCTTAGGCGGTGTTTTACCCCGGATAATTCCCACGGTGGCGAGGCTGGCACTAAGAGGGGGCACCCGGGAGCCACACCGCAAGAAAGCCAGCCACAGGGAGGGGTGTTTACTGTACCTAAGGCTAGGATAGGTACCTTGGGGAGTGGACGTAAGCAAGGTGTACCTATGGCGGGGTGCCTATTCCGGTGTTTAGCGTGGGCATGTCCCGACACCTTGAGGGAAGGGAACGGGCGCAGAGGAGGTACCTAACCTAAGGTGCGGGCGTATAGGAGGTATGTACAGTACATGGGTACGTCGATCTGTGGACGTCCCGTTCCCCCCCCCCCACGCTAAGAGAGAGGTGCGAGACGGCTAGGAGGGGAGGGGGGAGGGGGCCAGGGGAAGAGCCAATGGGCAGGGCGGCGTGGGAAGCCCCGAAAAAAGCCCCCGCGTTTAAGGGTGGGTAAATCTGGGCTAACTGTTTCCCTAATATCCTTTCCCCATCTCAGCCCGCTTCTCCATCCCCCGTTCGTGATCCAGCCATCCCAAGCCATCTTGGGCCGCTATCCTTCGCCGTCCTGCCCGCCTCAGCCGTGTCGAGCAGCCTGCAGCAGAGTCTTGCGAGACGGCGCCGGTCAGTCGCAGACAACGGCCACATTCCCTACGGACGTACAGACGTGCGTTGCACACGAGCGGGCCAGCTGGTTTTGCTTTTTGTCACGCCAGTCCACCGCTCCTTTTCGCCGCCGCCTCACGCTCCCCCCATCGACCCCCCTCGATCCCCATCCCGTCCCCGTCCACGAGGACGATCCAGTCCATCATCGACCGATCAGTCAATCCCATCGTCGCCATTGAAAACCCGCCTTGCACCCCCATCACCTCCCCTCCCATCCGCTCCTGGTCTCTTGCCCCCCCCCCCCGTCCGCTCCTGGTCTCTTGCTCCCGTCGAACCGCGCCCACGGCCCAGCGCATATGCAAGTCACCTGTCTTTTCTGAAATGCCCGAGCGATGTCGCGAGTAGATGGCCTCCCAGCAGCAGCAATCACCGGTTAGAGGAGGCGGCAGTGCCGGCAGTGGTAGCGAGAATGCGAATGGGAAAGCTGCTGGCGGCCCTGCCGCTCCGACTACTACCACCTACAAGCGCGCCAGTCGCAAGGGCGCGCCTAGGAGGTTCATGTGCCGCTGGCCGGGCTGCGACAAGGTCTACTCGAGGGCCGAGCACTTGCAGAGGCACCAGTTAAACCGTACGTCTTCTCTCTTTCCTCGTGCGAATTGCCCCGATGCCACGCTCTCGAGCTGACCCGTTTCGCCTCCAAGATGATCCCAAGACCATCTACGCCTGCGATACCGCGGGCTGCAACCAGACCTTTGTCAGGCATGACTTGCTGGCCCGGCACAAGAAGAGACATTCTTCGTCCTATGTTCCGAGGAACCGCGCCAGCAGCTTCAGCGTTTCGGCCAAGGAGACGACGCCGCAGGCTACCCCCCTCACGTCGTCTCCCACCGTCGCGAACCCCGCTAGGCCGCCGCCCCGCCCAGTAGCCCCCTTCTCCCACCGGCCGGCGAGCGCTCCCCGCAACGCGGATATCCTGTTGACGTCTGACGAACCCATCCAGCCTCACCCGTTGCCTCTGCCGCCTCCCATAGCGCATACCCAGCCTAGGCCCCTCGCTTCGAGCATCCCGTGGACGCCTTCGATGGACGGCGTCAACATGGTGCGCCCGAAGCCCAACTTCTACAGCCGTGAGCAGCCACCTATGCAGGGCCATTCCACCTTTGTGCCGTATACCGGCGTCCCTGTGTCCGCTGATGCTAACGAGTTTGAGATCCGTGAAAATTTCGGTGTCTGGCTCTTTGATCCCCAGCAATCCTACAGAGACTTCAATTACACCGGCCTTCCCTTTCTTGAGGGTGGTCTCGAGTCTCCCTTTAATAACAACATTCATTATGACCACGAATCGCTTGCCAGCCGGTCCCAGCTGGATCTCACTCCTCCACGACACCCTGATTCTCCCGACGAGCTCATCTCCGAGTATCGCCGTCAAGACGTCATACGCCGTGTACAGCTATTCTACCGAAAGCGGAACAGGTTCGACCAGAAGCTCGCCAGCCTCATGCACGAGACGAGCGACGACATTCCCGGCTTGAGCCTAGAGTTCCTGCGGGATTGCCTGCGCCACTACTGGGACTACGTGTCCCCACGCCTACCCATCGTTCACCAGCCTACCTTTTCTCCCGCTCAATGCTCCCTCCTTCTCCTCATGGCCATGATTGCCCTGGGCGCCGCCCAGATCCACAATCGCGAGACGACGGGGGGCCTGCACGAGTACAAGGCATTCTCCGATCTCGTCATCACGAATCTCCGCTTCGAAATTTTGACTGCTGATGAAGCTTCACCTCCAGTGGATCTTTGGGTCGCCCAGGCCCTGCTCCTAGTCGAGTTTTACGAAAAGATGTTCTCGTCGAGGAACCTGCACGAGAGGGCACACGTTTACCATTCGGTGACACTAACTCTACTTAGACGAGGTAGCCCCCTAATTGGAGGTGCAGGCGCTGATTCCCCCTCTGACGAGCAGAACGGCGCCGAGCACCCCGCCACGTCGGACGCGAGAACATGGTGGGTGAAATGGGCGCGGACCGAGTCGATGCACAGAGTCGTCTTCGCCGCATTCATGATGGACGTCATCCACGCCGCCATGTTCGGGCACGCGGCCGACATGGCCCCTCATGAGATCCGCCTACCCCTGCCGTGCGACGAGTCGCTGTGGTCTGCGTCGAGTCCCGAGACTGTCCGTCATCACGACTCCAATTTCAGATTGTACGGCGTCAAACCCGTCTCGTTCCTAGACGGGCTGAAGCGCGCCATTCACGGACAGGAAGTGCAAACCCATGCTTTTGGTCGCATGATCATCATGTGTGGTCTCCTCAGCGTCGGCTGGCACCTCAGGCATCGTGAAACCCACCTAAAGTGGCTGGAGCTGGGATCTAATCCGTCGGACACGCGAGACAAGTGGTGTGGTATGCTGCTCAAGGCGTTTGATGATTGGAAGACTAGTTTTGACGGCGCAATCGGTTCAACCGATCTTGAATCGGACGGCACTACGCCACAAGCTCACTCAAATGGACTTGTCCAGAGCGCGTCTGTTCTGTATCATCTTGCTCATATTAGCTTATACATTGACATCGTTGACTGCCAGGTCTACTCCGGCGCAAAACGTTTGCTTGGCCGCAAGGTTTCCACGCGGGATTACGCCAACGTCGTATCGAGGATATCGGTCTGGTCGTCGCAGCCGACGACCCGCCACGCCATCTTCCACGCTTTCCAGCTCCTCCACCGGATCCTGGTCGATACTCGCCAGAACAGAGGGGCGGGGTTCCCAAACAACCCCATTGATGCCTACGGCATACAATACTCTTGCCGGGGGGACCCCGACCCCCATCGGCCATGGATCATGTATTATGCGACCCTGAGTATCTGGTCTTTTGTGCGCTCATTTACGCAACCGAGGGAGGAATGCAGTACGCTCCGGCCGTTTGCACGACAAATCCAAGGTAACACGGCGGGGATTGTTGACTATCTCAACAAGGTCACGAAGCTTCCCGAGCTCGAGGCTACGACGCCGTCGAATCTCCAAGACGGATTGCCCAACCTGCTTGACGTCATAAGTACTCTCGCGCTCGAGTCTCCTTCCGAGCTTCTCCAGGAGGCCAGCAGTCGCCTCGAGGTCTGCAAACGGATGCTCTATGGCGATGTGGCTTGACTAGACCCCGGCCGCCTCTTAGGGCTTAATACTCGGCATGTACTCTACCTCTATATTTATTTCTCTTTCACTCGGTTGGACCCAAAGGTTCGATCATACTAGTTGGAGCATTACTAGTTTGGAAGACGTAATTAGGGCAAAAGGGTATCGGAAATATCTCGAAATGAGTTTTGAATCACCTTGGCAAGTTCTCTACGGCGAAAGCAAACGGCTTCAGGCTGGACTGGTGGGGACTGGGGGAAGGGATTGCAATGAAATTCATGTACTACTTTCAGTTCTTCTGCCACGAATGTGGTCTGGGTCAATTGACAACTGGGAACTTTTTTTTGCTATTACAGAAGACAACCTGCGAGTTGGGCGGGTTACGTGTATGAGAAAGCTGGCAGACATTCGATAGAGGGAATACCCATGGTCTGTCTACCCCATGGTCTCGCTAGGTTTAGTTCGTGGTCAAATCAAATCGTTATGCTAACTCACCTACTATTATTTAATAACCTACTACCTACATTAACGGGTTCCGCCTCCACAACCGACAGCCACCGTTGATCCCGTCTTCTACATAGGTATAATAATATGACACACTCTAGGTACTCAGATGGAACGTATGATCTTGGAGGCCTGGGGTGGCACCTTGTCAGGGAAGCGGACGAGGGCGAGGAGCAGGACGCGCATCCTAGCGAGCGTCCACTCGCCGGCGATGCCGGCCATGAGCTTGTCGAGGCGGCGGGTGAGGCGGAGCTCGTCGGTGCGGGAGCGGCCCCAGACGCCGGCGGCGATGCACTGGCGCTTGACGGTGCTGAGCTGGTCGACGCAGCGGGTGAGGCGGCGCATCTGGCGCGGCGGCAGGACGTCGCCGATGAGGCGCGCCGTGCCCGTCGCCCGGATCGTGCCCGACGCCGGGAAGTCGACCAGCAGCGCGCACGCCGGACACCGCGACGGCACCTGCTGCGTCTCCACCACGATCGTGTTGTCCCCGGACCCCACCGCCCACACCTTGCAGTACACTGAGTCCAGGCACTCGAACACTTGGCGCGTGAGATAGACCGGCATCTTGGCCAAGGGGGGGGAGGGGGTTGGATGGCGTGTGTGGCGTGTGTGCGTGTATATGTGTGGGTGCGTGTATGTATGTGTGCGTAATATGTGTGAATATGCGTGCGTACGCGTACGTATGTATGTAGGTATGCGTAGATGCGTCTCAGCGGGTGTGTGCGTGTGTGTGTTTGCTTGTTGTTCAAGGGTGTTTATCAATGTAGGTAATATAACAATATGCTCTCAGCCGATCTAGGCAACGCGGACCGAGGGCAACTCGCGATTCGAAGCCGTGACTGGAGGCCGTGATATTCCTGGGAGCAGCAATTCGTCGGTTTGAAAAGGGGGGCACGGCTAGATGTACTCGATATTAAGCTGGGCGGGCAATGGCATTGTTCCTACAGACCGCCCAGGACAATAGACGTGTTTGGTCACAGCGTAGAGTGTGCGGGCTTTATCACTCGTCCGCTCGCGATGGCGCCGGCAGCAATCGTAGCGCCGGCGAGGCCGCCGACCTCTTCTTTGTCTCAGTGTTCATCGTTTTTCTTGTGCTACACTCGCCGTAAGGCGGCCTTCGCCTGATGGGTCAGTTCTCACATTTGTCTTAACTAAAACATTGCCTCAGAGATGGCGTTGCTGGCGGGTTAGTTTCCTTCACGATATGCTCTCTTCGCTCATTCGACGAGTCTACGAGTATGCCGGCGAGAGATAGCAGAACTCGAAGTCGTGTGTACCCAAGCCCGGCGTGCATGGTTGGCCGGCCGCAACAGGCTGCATCGCCGGCGCCCGCCCGTGGGGTTCATGTCTATGGTTGGTAGCTAGGTAATAATAAGCAAGTTGAAGCTGTAATGGGAGATATCAACTGTCACACGGGGATGGAACCCTATGCTAATAATCAGGCCATAAGGGTTAGGAGGATAATATCGGGCATTAAAGCCGTTACCTCGGCGACCTACTAAGGAAAGTCCTAGATAAGCTTCGGATAGCTTCGGTAGTAAGGTATAAAGGTACTAAGGTATAAAGGTACCTTCGAGATATATTAGGCTAAGAAGGGAACGACGGACTTAGAAAAAAAAAAGATAAGGACCTAAGAAACCTCCTATAGAATTATTAGTTAAATTAAACCTATTCTAAGTATATCCCTTTGTTATAGATAATTTTATACTACTTTTACCCTTATAACTTTATTATAAATTAATAATAAGGAAAGCCTACGCCTAAGCCGGTATCGTACGCCGAAGCCGCTAACCCGGCCCTACTACTATTATTAGATTAACCTCGACCCTTTACTAAAGAACCGGAGCCGTAGGCGTTCCTACTCCCGCGACCGGCTACCTCGGGGTTAGCGTCGATCTTTATAGCGGAGGTAGCTTAAATAATAGCTACGATTAATAAATTAAAAACCGTAATGGTAGAACTAAAGGCGAAGGACGCTAAGCGGGCTATCCCGGCGCCTTAGCCGGAACTAACCTCCGAACCGACCGATAAATCCCTCGTAGTATATTAACCTTAAGAATACGAGGTAGTTATAGCGGATATTCCGGAAATCGCGAACTTAGGAGTAGTTATACGAAACCCTCCGTAATAAATCGTAGATTTACATAAGTAAATGGAATAGGCTTATTAAAGCCTAGTAATATTAGTTAATTAAGTCGACGCGGGATATCGATAAAATACGATTCTAAAGAAGTAATACGAGTAATTACGATAGCTTTACTAAACCGCTACGGCTATATAAGTTACCGGTATCCGAACTACGAAAATATAAATCCATAAGTTCTAGAAGTAGGTCGTAGAATAAAGTACTTACTTCGCCTAAAACGTATAGGAAACCGTAGCTAAGTTTACCCGATAAAATAAAATACGAACGGCCGCTATAAACTAACTTCGAAACGCCGCCCTTTAAAACTAACGGGCCTTAACCTAACTACGCGAAAAATATAATAAATTAATAACGGACGTTAGCTCCTAAGCTACGTAAAAGGATAAATAGATTAACGAAATCCTTAATAAGAAATACCTTACCCCTAAGGTTATAAAGGAAAAAACTTAGCTAATTAAAAACGACCTTAAGGCTTACGCGGTTAATTTAATTAAAAAATACTAGTAACGACGATTAAATAATAAGCTAACGGATATCGAATCTATTATTACCGGAATTAATTAAAGGGTAAGGATATTAACTCCCGTACCGGCTATCCGTATTACGATAGCGTTAACCGGGAGATATATTAATAGCGAGGTTAGAATAAGGGAAATTATTTCCGACGGCGTACTATAGGATATTACGGCTAGGCGTACCGCTATACGCGCGCGAGCTCGCTTCTAGAATATTACCGCAAGAGCCTTTATATTAAAAGGAGCCGGGTAGGAACTACCGTAACCGCTAAGGATCCCGCGGAATACCTTAAGAAACCTAAGGAATTCCGATAACTCGGATAGCTTAGAATCCGGGGACCCGTAAAGGCTACGACGCTTACTAGGTATCCCTAAAGAATCCTAGGAGCCTCTCGACCTAGCCGAAGAACGTATAATTCGAACTTAAACTAAAGCTATAAATAATCGACGAAGTATTACGGTAACGACTAACCCGGTATATCTTATTAAGCCTACGGCCTATAACGATAAGGACTTAGCTAAGTTTCGACCGTAATAAATTAAGGTTAAATCCTACCTCGAAACTTACGAGGAAAGTTTTACCCGAGACGTTTAAAAGATTAATTAAATAAAATCGATACTTATAAAAAAGGCCTAGCTTTAGTATTAATAACGATTAACCTAGGTAGAGAGGTTAATAATCGTCGATACTTAGGTAGGATATTCCTAAGCCCTTTAAAAACGATTTAAGGACCCCGCCGAACGATACCGTAATTCTAAGAAAATATAAGAACTTAAGTACTAAGGAGATATCTCCTAATACCTTACCGAGCTTATAAACCTTAACGACGTCGTCTAATAATCGGGAATTACCTTCTAGAATTATATCGCCCGTACCTTACCCGACGAAATAATTAAGTTAGTTTACTTACGACTAAGTAGTATTCCCGAAAGCGATAAAGCCTTCTTTAAGGTAATTAAAAAAGCTAGCTAAATCTACGAAAACATAATAACTAACCTAGGAATTTCGGGAAAAGGAGGGTCCGCTTCGTAAAAGGAGTATATAAAAACGGACTAGTAATAAAGGTAACCCGTAAAAGAAACTCGCTCCCGCTTAAGCTAACCGATAAACGAACGTAAAAGTAAGGATAGTAAGAAACCCGTACCGGCTAAGGACTTACGATAGATAGGTAATAAGAAAGCTTTAACTAGAATTAACTAAGCCGCTATCGACTAGCAAAAGAAGGATAAGAAAGCCTACTAACGGTACGGAAGGAATAATTACTAAACCCTAGCTTACTTCGTAAAAAAGGACTTAGAAGGACGGGACTTACCTACGCTACCTAAGAAGGTCTTATTAGGAAAAAGAAGAAGAAAGGAACCCGAATTATTATTAAATAAAAGGGTTAGGATCGATACTACTATACGATAAGAAGAAATTCTTCCCCGTATTATAAAACTATCCGATTCTAATAAAGAACGGGATTTTTAAAGGCCCCCTCGTAAGCGTTAACGGAAGAAAGAAGCGATAAAAATAACGTAAAAATTATAGCTATAAAGCGGCCTAGAACGTTAAAAGTAACGAAAGTAATACTAATAATAAAGAAGCTACGAATCCCCTAGCGTAACTTAGACGAATTAAGGTTAAGTAAACGGCTTATTTACGTAATGTAAATAAAATATTAAAGAAAGGAATACCCCTTACGAGTCTTACTAGATACCGGTAGCGAGGTACCCCTAATTAACGCCGCTAAGGTTAAGTAGCTACGCCTCCTAATTAACTAACGCTGTCACGGTTTTAAGAGCTGTTCGCTGGGTAAAAGCCGTATGTTGATGAACTAAAGCTAGACGAGGAGAAAAAGTAAGAAAGTGTGCCCTGTGGGCCGCACTTGCGACAGCTGGCCTTATCCGCCGTAGGTGCTGAGGGCCTGATCACGTGCTATGCCCTGGCACTAGCCAGGGCCCTACTATGGGCATAGCCCATTACAAACGCTTAAAGCCGAGAACCCTAATAAGATTCGACGGCTTTAAAATCTCGTTAGGAAGGCTTTAATATATAAATAAAATAAAGCTCCGTAGCTACGAATATATCTACTCCGTCGCTTAAGAAGTTAGTAAATTAAACGAAGAAATCGACGTTATCCTACCTTAATAATAAATAAAGGAATACCTTCCTTAGGGTTTATTTATAAAGGGACGATTATATTTTAACTTACCCTAATGCCGGAACTATCGCCCCCGGCTAATCCGTATAGGAACTACGCGAAAAAAGGACGCTTTATTATAAGTACCCGAATAATTCCGCGACTTCGTCCCTATTATAACTAAGGAAGCGGGGTAACGGTTCCTTAATCGGTAACTATAAGACTACGCTATCGAACTTCGTCTAGGAACTACCCCCCCGTAGGGACCCTTATACGTCATAAGCGGACGATAATTAAACGCCTTAAAACCTTAACTCGACGAAATACTAGCTATAGGAAGAATCCGGAAATCTAAGGCCCCCTACGGCGCATTTATAATATTCGTAAATAAGAAGGACCCGGGCGCCTTAAAACCGGTAGCTAACTACCGGGGGTTAAATAAAATTATAATACCCGTCCGATACCCGATCCCGCTAATTAATAAGCTATAGAACCTATTCCAAACGACGCGATAGTTTACTAAGATTAATTTAAAGTCTAGCTTTTATATAGTACGAATCAAGGAAGGCGATAAATAGAAAACCGCTTTTAAAACGCGATATAAGCTATACGAATATACGGTTATACCTATAGAATTAATTAACGCCTCCGTTACCTTTTAAGCTATAATAAACCATATCTTTCGCGACCTCTTAAACGTAGAAGTTATCGCTTATTTAAATAACGTCCTAGTTTACGCCGATACGTTAGAAGAATATAATAAACTAGTTAAAGAAGTCTTAAAACGGCTCATAGAAAACCATCTAGCGGTAATCCTAAAGAAATATACCTAGCGAACGTAAGAAGTTAAGTTCTTAGGATATAACATAAGCCCTAGGGGTATTACTATATCTAAGGATAAAATAAAAGCCATTCTTAACTAACGTACCCTAGCTATACTTAAGGACTTATAAAGTTTTATT